CCGAAGCAGCAGAAGAGTCGCCACCTTATCACACGGCACGTCGGCTGCGAGCGCATCGTGACATAAAATTAATGCCCAACCGACAATTTTAATCGGCAACAGTTTCTGTCTTGAGTTATAGCACCGGGAGCTGAACAGAGCCAGGGCAACCTGTAGTCAGGAGTCTGTAGTCTAGAGTCGGGAGTTGGGAGACTGGAGCATGGAGTGCGCGCAAACTTTTCTGCAAGATTGTGCCAACTTTTCGGGAGACAGACAAAGACAAAGACAAAGAGAGACCGAGACCGAGACCGAGTCAGCCGGATGCGTATATTTAAAACTTATTAAATTGCTATAATTTATACGACTTATCTCGCCCCGAGGGTGGCTTAAGCAGCAAAAAAAAAAATCCCGCTGCATGGCTGCGGGCCACGGGCACACGGGCACACGGCAAGGGCAATTAATTTACATGCAAATCGTGCCGAAAGTTTGCTCCCCCCACCCGAGTGACACTCTTCTTGGCGCGGCCTTAAAGCCGCCATCCGGAACCCGGAATCCGGAGCCCGAAACCCGGAGCCCGGAATGTGGAATGTAGATGCGCCATCCGCCCACACACTTGATTAGAGCTTGAGGCGGTGCTCAGGTCGCCCGCTGTGCGCCGCCTGCTTGAAACAATATGGCGCCAAGAACTGCGACCCTTTTGGTTTTGGGTCTCCTCACGAACGTCGACAGGTTGCCGCATCGTTAGAGGGCCTCAATCCTCAGTCCCCAGTCTTCAGTACTTTATTGTCCTTGTCTGTCTGACGGTCTGTCGGTCTGTCTTGCTGTCTTTGTGCGCCTAACAAATTGCAGTATTTTTTTGTGTTGATTTATCGCTCAACGCAGCAACGGTGGCAACAATAAAAACAACAGCAACAACAACAACAACAGCAGGGCGAGCGTGAAACGAGCGTACATTAAACATTTAGTAATGAGTTTAAAGTTTTAAATGGAATTTTTGATTATAAGCAGCCGAACGAACAACAAAGGCCGAGGCGGAAAAGCCGTTCGCAGTATCGCAATTTGTGGCCACTTGCGGGTGTAATTACGAACGGAGCAGGGTGTTTCTGCATTATGCCTACCATAATAAGCGGCCCATGAATGCGGGATTGGTAGTACTTGTATAGGGAATATGGCAGTTTTCACTCACGCTCACAGGGATTCTCTGCACCTTTCGTGTCCTACATTTTGCACCCCCAAAGGCTCCCGGCCTTCCGTCCCATTGTCAATCCATCACAGCCCTTTTCGCGCACAGCCCCTTGCCTGGGCCCAAAAATCCAACCCCAACAAATTCCAAGGCAAATCTCTGGAAATCCCAACACTTTGTTCAAACACATAAACCCAGATCTTCTGCCTGCTGCTGAATCTTCATCTTTCACTCGCCCGGAACCAGTTTTCGGGCGTTTTCTTTTCAATTTAGACCGGGACACACAGCAAAGTTAGGCCATTAAACGCTTTAAAATCAACATCAACACCGATGACGACGACAGGGGCAATAAAGTCGACCCAAAAATTGCTTCCTGAGCACATAAAACTCAGTCGGAGCCAGGGCACAACCCCAAAATACCTATACACACTTATAGCGTCGAACAACTGCTGAGCCTCGCCTCGCCAACAAACGCGGTAAAAGTAAACGAAACACTTTGCCGCCCTTCCAGCCCAGCCCACTTAATACTTAAATGCAAACGTGTAAATTATGTGATTTTTCCCCGGCGGCCATGTTTGTTTGCAAACTCCATTACCAACATGGCGGGAGCTCCCAATGCCCTCGTCCTCGTCCTCATCCTCGTCCTCCAACGCTCGTTCACCTGTTTGTTTCAAGCAATCGTCGCGCTTTGCCATTAAAATGCGAGGAATAACAAAAAAAATACAGAGCCCAAGCTGAATACCCCTTTATGTGCCTTTATGTGTTTTTCATGTACTTTTATTTGATTGTCGCACGCTTTGGCGCCCAGAACCCGGAGTGGGAATGGGAAGGGGGCGTGGCACCTTCCATTTAATGGCGTTGTTTTTTAGTGCTCAAAATATTAGCAAATGTTCATTAACGGCTATGCAAATTGGTTGTAGCCAGGACCACCGAGCCAGCCCAGTCTGGACTCCGAAAAGGCAATTACTCAAAAAGTACTTAACACACAATTGTTGCGTGTGCCCAACTGATGGGAGTTGGGCCAAAATCCTCGCAAAAGGCACTGCCTTTAACAACGTATTGAATCTCAATAGGTTTTGGATCTTCTGGGACAGAGTTCATGTTCGGTATCCGCCTAATTCCTCGGTCTGTTAGCCTTGCTTCTTTTCCACACTTGAAATCATTTTTAATAACATGCAGAAGAATTTCAAATGTTTGCTTTCAAGTTCATCATATCATCATATTTGTTAGGATTTAAATAACAGGGTGGGGATGGCATTTCAGGCTAACAAGTAGCACAATCATAAGTTAGGATCTGAAAAATAGTTAGTTCATAGTCACAAAATAGTGCACCAAAAGGGTATTCCATAGTCGAAGCACTTGTCTTGCACCTTGATTTCATCTTCGGGCGCACTGAGAGTCAAGTGGAGGACTGGTAGGACGAAATCCATCCGCCTGGAAAGCCAATTAAAATGAAATCAGGCCACTCACTGCTCTGCCTTTTCGGCCTGCCTTCGCACATCGGCACCTCGGCACCTGGGCACCTCTCGTCCCAGCAGCTTAGGCAGTTTATTGGACTACAACACCTTGGAGCGAGCTCACACACAAGTGGGATATGCTTAAATTTGTAATTTTAATATTATTAAAAATGTTAAATTGCACGCAGCATAAATCACATTTGAGTGGGCTTGCCGAGGGGGTGTGCAGGCGCCAGCTTGTTGCCCCCGAGGGTTGACACCCACCGAAGGACACAACGACACATTATACGCTCGCCATTACTGCCAGCTGCGTTTGCCACACTATTTATACTTTTTATTGTTGTCGGCGCTGCCGACGCTGCTAAAATATCGCCAATCCCACCACCACACTTACTGGCTGCTGTGCTGTTTTAATTTAAGCGATTTACTCTCGGGTTCATAAAACGGCCGCAGGCTTAATCCGCATTTTGCATAAAATGTCAGTGTAATAAAATGGAATGAAATTAATAAACCGAACTTTAATGTCCCGGTTGCCAGTTTGCCAAGGCGATAGGGCTAATCACAGCGAACACCTAAGAGTTCATTGAATTTATTCGAATGCTGCAATCAGGCCGAGGGTTCAAGCAACTGGGGTGAGAGATCAGGCCGAAGTGATTGGGATTGGGTCGTTTGCGGAGCAGAAACGAGCTAAAGCAGACATATTTGTGATCTATTTGGCCGATAAATTGACCCCGTGTGGGCGTTAGCTGCCATTTATCGGGCATACTTTGTCGTTTCTGCCATTACGTTTAATGACCCCGCAGCACTTTCATCTCATCAGCCTGCAAACACTTCCGAAGGGAAGCGGAGCCTCCTTTTTTTAAAAGCATCCAGCGCCCATTAACTTGTGTGAATTTATATCAGTCATTGGCCCAGCAGCTCCCACTACCGACTACCGACTACCGACTACCGACTGCTGACTGCTATTATGCGTTCGTTAATTATTCACACACAAATACTACAGCCTGCCTCCCTCACCACACGTTTCGGTCATAAAAACTGCCCGCCCCGCCCGCCGGCCACGCCCCCTTAACGAGGCAACTAACTCTGGGGCTCGGACAGAACTCTCGACTTAACCTTGCCAGTCCCATCCGCATCCAGTCCCCACTGGATTGGGGATCTCCTCCTTGGACATTTATGCCATCCAGACCCAGACCCCGCGCACATATGGAGAGATCTTGACATTAAATAAATCTAACATCCCGTATGCGCTTAGTGGGCGTCTTTAATACTCATCCGCACATTCCCGCAAATGGCGTAAAAAAAATGACGCAGACATTATTCACGCTATCATTGGGCACACACAAAGGCAGGCAGGAGACAGGGATGGGGGAGATTTGGGTTAGTCCAAAAAGCGTCCAAACTATGCTCTTATGGGCTTGGGGCTTCCACACAGCCAGAAATTACAACGATTTTTCGTGAAAGCGAACGTTTGTCCACACTCGCTCGCTCGCATTTAAGCCACATGTCGCCAGTAGTTGGACCGTCTGCCGCAGAATGTTTAGCCGCGTTGCCATTGATAGCATGCGAAACCTCGAAAAACGAGCGCCCCAAATTTATTGCGTGAAAGTGAGCGGGCCAGCGAGTTGACCTGGACTCCTGTCCAGCTGACTGCTGCGCCCAGTCATCGGAAGAGACCATTTCCCAGTCACTGGAGGAAGGGGGGAAGGGTCCTCAGCTCCAATGAAAGCCACCCTTTGCGGCCGCTCCATGTCACATAATCGAATTATCATCGTGGCATCAACAAATGATTTCAACTTTCGCTGTCCTCGGTCTTTTGGTCCTTCGATCCTGGTGCTGTCACCGCTCTAGCCGTTCGGCGGCGTTGCCTTTTTTCACTTCACTTCATGGCCCAGCACACCGCACCACAGCACATCCTAGGCCACCCCTGGATCCACATCATCAGCCTTTCTGCTCCTTTTTTTTTATCATTTCCCTGTTTTGCCAGCGTCATTGTCGCTGGTCATTTGCGCTGCTTACTTCATCCATTCATTCGCAGTTGGTCCGTTTCATTTCGCCTCGTCCTTTTGCACTTCATTTTTTGAACTTTTTTCACCGTTTTCAGCTTTGTTCTGTCTGTCGTCTCGTTTGTTTGAGGTTATGTTGAATGTCAGTTTGTTATCCTTGTGCAAATCCTTTTATACAAATGAAATTTGCGCCAAATGGCGATAAGCAAAATACAATAGTGTGCGCAGACCACCCCCGCGGGCTTGTGGTTTCCCCGGGAAACGGGACTTACGGGGCTTACGGGGTCCGAACTGGACTTAAATGGGAAATCGCACGGTCAAATGCTCGAATCGATTACTAACCCGGTGCCACCCACCCACCTTCTCCCGTTGCAGACATCAACAAGGGCTCACCCATCGACTTCAAGAGCGGCTCGGCCTGCTCCACCCCCACGAAGGACACGCTGAAGGGCTACGAGCGGAGCACACAGGGCTGCATGGGTCCTGTGCTGCCGCCGCGCAGCGTCATGAACGGACTGCCCGCCCACCACTACTCGGCGCCGATGAACTTCCGCAAGGACCTGGCCGCCCGCTGCTCCTCGCCCTGGGTGAGCGTCGTCGCCATCTCGGCGCTGCTCGTCGGCGTGCTCATGCTGATCCTGCTGACCACCTTCGGCGGCCTGCACTGGACCCAGTCGGCGCCCTGCACCGTTCTAGTCGGCAACGAGGCCTCCGAGGTCACGGCTGCCAAGAGCACGAACACGGACCTCTCCAAGCTCCACAACTCCTCGGTGCGCGCGAAGAACGGACAAGGCATTGGCATCGGCACCGGCACCGGCCTCGGAGGACTGGCCCAGGGACAATCGGGACTGGGAGTGGCAGGTGGAGGCGGCGGCGGTGGCGCAGGATCCGTGTCAGGCGGATCGTCGGCGGCCACCGTGACGACGGCCACCTCGAACAGCGGCACCGCCCAGGGCCTACAGTCGACGTCCGCCTCCGCGGAGGCCACGTCCTCGGCGGCCACGTCTTCCTCACAATCCTCGCTGTCGCCGTCGCTGTCCTCGTCTCTGGCGAATGCCAATAATGGAGGTAATTATGCACAACTTTTAATTATTTTTAAATGAGTTTTCGCAAGTTTCGCAAAGCACTGGGAGTGGGAGAAAGCCAAGACGTCGGAGTATTTAGCGCTTAGCGCCCTCCGGCAGAGACAAAAAGTTTATTGTTTTTGCTGGATTTTTTAGCTTGAAGTTTGCGCCTGACAGAAAGACAGACGCCTACGTCGGATAGGGATTATGCGAATGCCGTTTTCATTATTTCTCGGAACGCCTTCTCATTTCTTTCAATTAAAGTTCAACTTGAGCGCGTTCTTTGGGATTTGTCGGGCTAAAATATTGCATTAATTACTTTTACGGAATTGACAGCAGTCGAAAGTTTTCAATGCCACTGCCGTGGCATTCTTCGTTTTCTTCGAATTGTTAGGAGATATATCGCTTTCTCCCACTCAAAGCCCTCTTTAACCGGCTCAGAGCTAGACAACTGGGATTGAATTAAAAACACATTTAACGCTTAATTTAAAGAGGTGTGGGAACGGGCTGGCTTTGGACGGAGCGCCCTGCCGCAAGGGCACTTTGTGCGCCTAAAGCACTCCCCTGTCCTTTTCGATTCGATTCGTTCGCTTTGTTTACCTGTAGGAAGAGCAATGTCAACGCAGCTGTCAGTCAGTGGGGCAGGAGGTAAGGAACGACGCCGTCGACGACGAAGCTTAATCGAGGGACAGGACGAAGATGATGTGGCTACAGACGAAACTTTCAGCGACTTAATTACAATCGAAAGCCTCCACCAGCAGACGACTGAAAAGTATTCCACCCCGGACAAAAACCCGCCAGACGTCGAGCAAACTTCGCCCCGAATCGATGGTGTATTGGGTCCCCAAAGGAGCGATTCAGACCCCAGCGACTATGTCTATGAAGACGAAGTTGAGCCGGAGAGCCCCCATCCGCTCGGCCGAAGAGCCAAGAGGGGGCAACAATTTGGCAAATCATTAAACAGCAATTTACGCAGCGCTGCCAAAACACTGGTCAACAAGAGTAGGAAATATGACCACGGGGCGGAGGCGGAGGCGGAGTCGGATGCGCACATTAACCAGCAGAAGCAGGAGCAGGAGCTCCTCAAAGCGATTGGGATGGCAACGGAGACCAGCACATTGCTCGCCGTTATTGATGACGATAATCAAAGTGACAAGAGCAGCTCAGGCCCCACGCCGGAGACGACTGCGAGGAGTGACACCGATGACATTGTTGAAATCAACACCATCACCCAGTCAGCTCCGAGCTCTTTCGCCGATGTCTCGAGCCAGCCTGGCGTTGAAAATGATTTTCAAATCAAAGGCACGGAGGCTGGGGGGCCGCAGACAGGGAAACCTGCCACTGATGATATCAATAATGAGTGTGATTTAGCTGACAACTATGAGGTAGACACCGAGGAGCCGGCATCACCAGCATCACCAGCCACACCCCCACAAGGTATAAATCAAACGCCCATCGACTGTAAGTCGAGCCAAGCGAGTGGTATAGAATTGCGACTTCAGTTCAGGCTCAGGCTCAGGAAACATTCTTCCGATGCTTTTATCTTAGACACAAAGGCTTGTGTTTGCAATGATTTCGGAATTAAATCGATCGTTGTTAAAAGATGTTACCTGCCAAAACTAAGTTGCAATATTAAATTAAGATTATAGGTAGCAAATCACAATGCATGCTTACTTAAAAGTATTGTAAAAGAGGTTTTCTGAGCCGGAACATCCAATTCTATGCCACTTGTGTCCAATATTCACCCCAAATTTCGGAATCTAAGGTAAGGAAAGTCAGCAGCCCAGCAAGGAGTCACCACAAACCAATCATACGGAATCGGATTTGATGATGAGCGATGCCTCGCAAGTTGAGGATATCGACATAGTCAAACTAGATGGGGTGCCCAGTTCCCACGAAGAGGAGGTTTACAAGACGGCAGAGGAGGAGAAGTTGGCAGGCAAGGGTCAAGAGTCACCTCAGCCATTAGTGGGGAGCGAAAACGAAGTGCTCAAAGAGCAGCAGAAGGACGCCGAGGAAGTGACCCCGCCCCCTCACCTAAAGCCCCTTAAGCCATACGTGAGTGAACGCGTTGATCTGCCGGGCAAACGCATATTCCTCAACCTGACAATCGCCACCGACGAGGGCAGCGACTCGGTCTACACTCTTCACGTGGAGGTGCCCACGGGAGGAGGTCCGCACACCATCAAGGAGGTGCTGACCCACGAGCGAGCGGGAGGCCAGACAGGCCACACGGACAGTTGTGCCCCGGAGCCACCACCCCGCATGCCCGACTGTCCCTGCAGTTGTCTCCCGCCTCCGGCGCCCATCTACTTGGATGACAGCGTTGACATTGACTCTCTCCAATCGACCACGACATCGACAACAGCTCCCCTGGAAAGGGCGACCATTTTGAGCCATGTTCGCAGCGTGGAGGAGGAGAAGGAGGATGGGGATACCGCTGCCTCAAGCACCGCTACTAACACATCTAGCACTGAGATCGATAACCACATTGTCGCCTCCTATACTGAACCCACTGTTGGTGGTGGTGGTGGTGAACCGTTTGCATGTCCTGATGTGATGCCAGTTCTGATACTGGAAGGTGAATTGTGCACAATGCATTTGTTGCTAACCCCGCTTTGTCTAACCACAAACTTAACCGTACTAAGCGCTGTACAGCCTATTAACATCTAGTCTTTGTTCTCTAACTAAACCCGCTCATCTTCCATTGGTTCTGCATTTGTACATATAAGACTGGCATCACATCAGCATCAGCATCAGCACTAGCCCCACTGTATATTTCGCGGGGACAATCGAGTAGGACTATAGACTATGCCACACTACACTACCAAACCATACATACACTAAGCATAATCAATGACTAACAAGGAATCTAATCCTCTTTGTATCCCTGTCACCCCTCATTGCACCCACGAAAACATTGCGATCGCTTTGCCGCCGCTGCCAACCTTCAGGAGCTCGAACATTCCCGGCACGCAGTTTTCCACCGGACGGCACCACCTTTGGCCAGATCACGCTCGGCCAGAAACTGACCAAGGAGATCCAACCGTACAGCTACTGGAACATGCAGTTCTACCAGTCGGAGCCGGCCTACGTCAAGTTTGACTACACGATTCCGCGTGGCGCCTCCATCGGAGTCTATGGCCGGCGCAACGCCCTGCCCACTCACACCCAGTACCACTTCAAGGAGGTGCTCAGCGGATTCAGTGCCAGCACGCGAACGTCCCGGGCCGCCCACGTAAGTAGTAGCCACTGCACCGTAATGCCCATAGCCGATCGTCTACTAACTCTAACTCATGTCTCTTTCATGCACCCCTCATGCCTCATGCCTCGTGCTGCATCCCAACCGTCCACTGCATCGCGCTTGGCTAATCCCCCGTCCAGCTGTCGATCACGCGGGAGGTGACGCGCTACATGGAGCCGGGCCACTGGTTCGTCTCGCTCTACAACGACGACGGCGATGTGCAGGAGCTGACCTTTTTCGCGGCCGTGGCCGAGGACATGACCCAGAACTGCCCGAACGGCTGCTCGGGCAACGGGCAGTGTCTGCTCGGCCATTGCCAGTGCAACCCTGGCTTCGGGGGCGACGACTGCAGCGAGAGCGTGTGCCCCGTGCTCTGCTCGCAGCACGGCGAGTACACCAACGGCGAGTGCATCTGCAACCCGGGCTGGAAGGGCAAGGAGTGCTCGCTGCGGCACGACGAGTGCGAGGTGGCCGACTGCAATGGCCATGGCCACTGCGTCAGTGGCAAGTGCCAGTGTATGCGCGGCTACAAGGGCAAATTCTGTGAAGAAGGTAGTGCCGGGATCTAGGATCCTCTCTCTCTCCCCCTCCCCCCAGCTTGTCTACTTCACTGCCATAGCTGACTAACTAATACTGTTTCCCGCTTGACTCCTCCCGCAGTGGACTGTCCGCATCCGAACTGCTCGGGCCATGGGTTCTGCGCCGACGGCACCTGCATCTGCAAGAAGGGCTGGAAGGGTCCGGACTGCGCCACCATGGACCAGGATGCGCTGCAGTGCCTGCCCGACTGCTCGGGCCACGGCACCTTCGACCTGGACACGCAGACGTGCACGTGCGAGGCCAAGTGGAGCGGCGACGACTGCTCCAAGGAGCTGTGCGACCTGGACTGCGGCCAGCACGGCCGCTGCGAGGGCGACGCCTGTGCCTGCGACGCGGAGTGGGGCGGCGAGTACTGCAACACCCGGCTGTGCGACGCGCGCTGCAATGAGCACGGCCAGTGCAAGAACGGCACTTGTCTGTGCGTCACCGGCTGGAACGGCAAGCACTGCACCATCGAGGGCTGTCCCAACAGCTGCGCCGGACACGGTCAGTGCCGCGTGAGCGGCGAGGGACAGTGGGAGTGCCGCTGCTACGAGGGCTGGGACGGACCGGATTGCGGCATCGCTTTGGAGCTGAACTGTGGCGACAGCAAGGACAACGACAAGGGTGAGTTGGTCATGGTCATCATGGTTGTGGTCAGCATGGACTTAGTTTAAACTTGAATTTCACAGATGGCCTGGTTGACTGCGAGGATCCCGAGTGCTGTGCCAGTCATGTGTGCAAGACCTCGCAGCTCTGCGTTTCGGCTCCGAAGCCCATCGACGTGCTGCTCCGCAAGCAGCCGCCGGCCATCACGGCCTCCTTCTTCGAGAGGATGAAGTTCCTCATCGACGAGAGCAGCCTGCAGAACTACGCCAAGCTGGAGACATTTAACGAGAGGTAGGTGCTTCCTGGTAGCCAGTTTGCCCTTGTCACTTTTTAGTTACAACCGAAATCGAGCCGTTGCGAGGCTGTGTATAGTTTTCACCATTGGCAGACAAGATAAAAACCTTTACTGTAAATTATCGAGAGTCTAGTTGGTTACACTACTGTAACTATACATATACTACTTACCTATAAAAAAAAAAATAATAATCAAATAGTTTGCATACTTAATGATTTTCTATGTTTAAATATTTACGTTTTTCGTTTTCGTGCCCTCGTCTAAAAAATATCCCCCAAAATAACATTTCCCACCACACCACATACCAAAGATCCCATTTAAATCTTGTAAATAAAAACCCTATATGTCCTTTGTTTGAAACGAACCCAGACAGAAACATCCTAAGTTAGTCTCTAAGTGCAATTGAGTTAAGGAGCATTGTAAGCACCCTAGGTATTCGGATAAGTTAGAATTAAGTACCCATCTAAGGTCACAGATACCGCTTCGGACCCTTGTGGAGGGCTCTCGCGATTTCGGTGTGATCGAAACGGAGCTAAACGATCCGCTCTAGGGGGCAATTATCAACACACTTAACTAGACCATAGACAACCATGCTAATTCAATTATTTTCTCTCTGCTCTCTTTTCTTCTCTACACGCGCTCCCTAAAACGTGTTGTAATAATACTAAATTATACTCTTCTACTCGATACTACCACCCACTACTAATTACGCATACGCACATACTCACCACTACACTACTACCCGCCACGCGTCATGAAATTCCGAATTCTTTGCATTACCCAACGACTGCTAAACGCTCTCGTTACTCGCTACTCGGTACTCGGTGCTCGATACTCGTTTCCTGTACTCTTTGTTAATCGAAAATGAAATTCAAACCAAATACTAACAGCATTTTTTGGAATTATTTCAATGCAAGGTAAGCAAGCGAAAAGCGGTACTAAAACTACTACTCTACTCTACTCTACTGATTCTCAATGGTTGTTTGGTACACATTTGTATACTTTTGTTCTCGTTACCTCGACGCCACTCGCTATTACTTTGAAAAACTTAACCATTATCATTACCATTACGATTACACTTTACCCTTGTCATTATCATTTCGTTTATAGTGTAGCTAACTTTGTTTCTTCTTATAAGCCGCTCAGTTGGTAGTTTGTTTTAAGTTTATTGCCCAAACTGATTACTGATTATCCAGACAACCAGGCCAACATACTTTGGGTTTTTAGTTTACCACATAATAATCTAAGCTATGGAAACTCGTTCTCTAAGGTCAATGCTAGGTCACAAACATGAGCCATACCGAGATATACCATACATTACATACCATATATACATATATATATTGTTCAACTTGTAATACCTTTATGTGTTCAAACGAGTCTTATGTTCTGTGCGTGTGTGAATTCTTATTATTTGTACTTATTTATTGCTCAATAGTTTGACTGCTTGCTAGACTAGCTAGATCTATGCCCAGACAAGCCCCAAAGTCCACCCACATCCCTGCTAGACCCGACTAATCCAGTTCTCTGTCCTCCGCAGTCGATCGGCGGTCATCAGAGGGCGCGTGGTCACCTCGCTGGGCATGGGCCTGGTGGGTGTGCGAGTGTCCACCACCACGCTCCTCGAAGGCTTCACCCTGACCCGCGACGACGGCTGGTTCGACCTGATGGTCAACGGCGGCGGTGCTGTGACCCTCCAGTTCGGACGCGCCCCCTTCCGGCCGCAGTCGCGCATCGTGCAGGTGCCGTGGAACGAGGTGGTCATCATCGACGTGGTCGTGATGAGCATGTCCGAGGAGAAGGGCCTGGCCAGCACGACGACGCACACGTGCTTCGCCCACGACTACGACCTAATGAAGCCGGTGGTGTTGGCCTCGTGGAAGCACGGTTTCCAGGGCGCCTGTCCCGACCGCAGCGCCATCCTGGCCGAATCGCAGGTGATCCAAGAGTCGCTCCAGATCCCGGGCACGGGCCTCAACCTTGTCTACCACTCGTCGCGTGCCGCCGGCTACCTGTCCACCATTAAGCTGCAGCTGACCCCAGACGCCATACCGGCCTCGCTGCACCTCATCCACCTGCGCATCACGATCGAGGGCATCCTGTTCGAGCGTGTCTTCGAGGCGGATCCGGGCATTAAGTTCACGTACGCATGGAACCGACTCAACATCTACCGGCAGCGCGTGTACGGCGTCACCACGGCCACGGTGAAGGTGGGCTACCAGTACACCGACTGTACGGACGTCGTGTGGGACATTCAGACCACCAAGCTGAGCGGCCACGACATGTCCATCTCGGAGGTGGGCGGCTGGAACCTGGACATCCACCACCGCTACAACTTCCACGAGGGTATCCTGCAGAAGGGTGACGGCTCGAACATCTATCTGCGCAACAAGCCACGCATCATCTTGACCACCATGGGCGATGGTCACCAGCGACCGCTGGAGTGTCCCGACTGCGACGGCCTGGCCACCAAGCAGCGCCTGCTGGCACCCGTGGCCCTGGCCGCCGCTCCAGACGGCAGCCTCTTCGTCGGCGACTTCAACTATATCCGGCGCGTGATGACCGACGGCAGCATACGCACCGTGGTCAAACTGAATGCCACGCGTGTCTCGTACCGCTACCACATGGCGCTCAGTCCGCTCGACGGCACGCTGTACGTCTCCGACCCGGAGTCGCATCAGATCATCCGGGTGCGCGACACGGCCGACTACTCGCAACCGGACCTCAACTGGGAGGCGGTCGTGGGCTCCGGCGAGCGGTGCCTGCCCGGCGACGAGGCCCACTGCGGCGACGGGGCGCTGGCCAAGGACGCCAAGCTGGCCTATCCCAAGGGCATAGCCATCTCGAGCGATAATGTGCTATACTTCGCCGACGGCACCAACATCCGCATGGTCGACCGCGACGGCATCGTGAGCACCCTGATCGGCAACCACATGCACAAGTCCCACTGGAAGCCCATTCCGTGCGAGGGCACACTCAAGCTGGAGGAGATGCACCTGCGCTGGCCCACCGAGCTGTCGGTATCGCCGCTGGACAACACCCTACACATCATCGACGACCACATGATCCTGCGCATGACACCCGACGGTCGCGTCCGCGTCATCTCCGGCCGCCCACTGCACTGTGCTACCGCCTCCACGGCCTACGACACCGACCTGGCCACCCACGCCACCCTGGTGATGCCCCAGTCCATTGCCTTCGGGCCGCTGGGCGAGCTGTATGTGGCCGAGAGCGACTCGCAGCGCATCAACAGGGTGCGTGTGATCGGCACGGACGGACGCATCGCTCCGTTCGCCGGCGCCGAATCGAAGTGCAATTGTTTGGAGCGCGGCTGCGACTGCTTCGAGGCGGAGCACTATCTGGCCACCAGTGCCAAGTTCAACACGATCGCCGCGCTGGCCGTCACGCCCGACGGTCATGTGCACATCGCCGATCAGGCCAACTACCGCATCCGGTCCGTGATGAGCAGCATACCGGAGGCGAGTAACTCGCGCGAGTACGAGATCTATGCGCCGGACATGCAGGAGATCTACATCTTTAATCGCTTTGGCCAGCACGTGTCCACGCGCAACATCCTGACCGGCGAGACGACGTACGTGTTCACCTACAACGTGAACACCTCCAACGGCAAGCTGAGCACCGTGACCGATGCGGCCGGCAACAAGGTGTTCCTGCTGCGCGACTACACCTCGCAGGTGAACTCCATCGAGAACACCAAGGGACAGAAGTGCCGCCTGCGCATGACGCGCATGAAGATGCTGCACGAGCTGAGCACGCCGGACAACTACAATGTGACGTACGAGTACCACGGCCCCACCGGCCTGCTGCGCACCAAACTGGACTCCACCGGCCGCTCCTACGTCTACAACTACGATGAGTTTGGCCGCCTCACCTCCGCCGTCACGCCCACCGGTCGCGTCATCGAGCTGAGCTTCGACCTCAGCGTCAAGGGTGCCCAGGTGAAGGTGTCGGAGAACGCGCAGAAGGAGATGTCGCTGTTAATTCAGGGTGCCACCGTGACCGTGCGCAACGGTGCCGCCGAATCGCGCACCACCGTCGACATGGACGGCTCCACCACGAGCATCACGCCGTGGGGCCATAACCTCCAGATGGAGGTGGCCCCCTATGCCATCCTGGGCGAGCAGAGCCCGCTGCTGGGCGAGAGTTACCCGGTGCCGGCCAAGCAGCGCACCGAAATCGCCGGCGATCTGGCCAACCGGTTCGAGTGGCGCTACTTTGTGCGCCGCCAGCAGCCGCTGCAGGCGGGCAAGCCGAACAAGGCGGGACCGCCCCGTCCCGTCACCGAGGTGGGCCGCAAGTTGCGCGTGAATGGGGACAATGTGCTGACTTTGGAGTACGACCGCGAGACCCAGTCGGTGGTGGTGATGGTGGACGACAAGCAGGAGCTGCTCAACGTGACCTACGACCGCACCTCGCGTCCCATCAGCTTCCGTCCGCAGTCGGGCGACTATGCGGACGTGGATCTGGAGTATGACCGCTTCGGCAGGCTGGTCAGTTGGAAGTGGGGCGTGTTGCAGGAGGCCTACTCGTTCGATCGCAACGGACGACTCAACGAGATCAAGTACGGCGACGGATCGACCATGGTGTACGCCTTCAAGGACATGTTCGGCTCGCTGCCGTTGAAGGTGACCACGCCCAGGCGGTCGGACTACCTGCTGCAGTACGACGACGCGGGTGCCCTCCAGAGCCTCACCACTCCGCGCGGTCACATCCACGCCTTCTCGCTGCAGACGTCGCTCGGTTTCTTCAAGTACCAGTACTACTCGCCCATCAACCGACATCCCTTCGAGATTCTCTACAACGACGAGGGCCAGATCCTGGCCAAGATCCATCCGCACCAGTCGGGCAAGGTGAGTGAATTTTATTAACGATGCTCGGATGATGGTTATCACAGGCAGAAAGCACTTTTGCGATTCACATTTAGATGATGTTCGGTTGAAGGATAAACTCAAAAGAATAACTTACTTGTGTTGCCCTTATATAATACAGACATGGGTCACGAAACATTTAGATCGAAATGACCACAATTCATTTAAATTATTTATATTTAAACCACAATCGAAAAAACGGAAAATCTTGTGGCTTAGTGCTATCGAAATTAAATATCAACTTGGTCTAAAATTTGTTTTTAACTTAATTCAAAGAACATATAATCTAACAATAGAATTAGGTTTCATTTTTTTTTTACTTGAAGAAAATTAAAAAATTTATTGTGACCCAAACTTTCTGATAATTTTGTCAATAAGTTACAGTAATAGCCATAGAGTTAAAAAAAACGGAAGCCCTATGCAAAATGCCCTTAAACAATTGTGCCAAGAATTAAACGCATTACAAAATTATGAATTTTGCTCTTAAAGTAAATAGATTAGCAATGAATACACAAGCCAACAAAAGTTTTGTGCAGGCCCAACCGCATATGATTATGATAAGCAACGCTTATCCAATTATAGTTTATATACATTTATAGTCCATCAGCTTTGGTATTTGCGTTATTTTAAATTTAGGAAACCGTGACCTTTAAATACAAAAATTAGCATTCGACATCCGACTTTTTAAATGTTAAAATGTTGTTAATTTGATATTAGATATTCTGTATAATAAAGGTGCGATGGTCACGATTTTTTTACCTCGACACTGCATGTGCTTTAAATTGCTTTCCTAATTGAATTGGAAAAGTATGTACATATGTGCATTTTAGTTTTTAAAATCTAAGATGTAAACAGCAATTATAGACAAAAAAAAAATTAAATATTTTTGGGTTACCTTTGGGTTTTTCCAAGTAACGTAATTCTTTTGTGTTGATTGATTCAGCCATGAAAATTTGAAAGCTACCATTAACCATTTGAACAAGTCTATAACTTACGCCCATGTTTACTTTTGTATTGACCAAAGCGTACAAATGCTTTAAAACATTTTTTTGTTACTAAATACTGGACACAGTTTGTAAAGTGACAAAAAATGATCAGAAGAACATATTTTTATTTGACCTTTAAAGCTGTTTACAAAAAGAGATTTTTTTTTGCTGCGCTTTTGACAATAATAATGCGCATATCTTCTTTTCTTTTTAAGTTAGGAAGTCAAATCAATGAAATTAAATTGGTTAAACCTTCTTAAAGATATAATTAAATTCTGTTAAAAATAACAGAAGTACCAAGGCTGATGGACTATTGTTCATAATCAAAAAAGCGAAACAGTGAAAACTGGAATAAACGCACATTAGGAATTGTCAACACATTGACCAGGTCACTATGCACTATGTATACTAAATGAACTCGATATTTGCAGGTGGCCTTTGTGCACGATACCGCCGGACGACTGGAGACCATCCTGGCCGGGCTGTCGAGCACCCACTACACGTACCAGGACACGACCAGTCTGGTGAAGTCGGTGGAGGTGCAGGAGCCGGGCTTCGAGCTGCGGCGCGAGTTCAAGTACCACGCGGGCATCCTGAAGGACGAGAAGCTGCGCTTCGGATCGAAGAACTCGCTGGCCTCGGCGCACTACAAGTACGCGTACGACGGCAATGCGCGGCTCAGCGGCATCGAGATGGCCATCGACGACAAGGAGCTGCCGACGACGCGGTACAAGTATGGCCAGAATCTCGGCCAGCTGGAGGTGGTGCAGGACCTGAAGATTACACGCAACGCTTTCAATCGCACGGTGATCCAGGACTCGGCCAAGCAGTTCTTTACCATCGTGGACTACGACCAACATGGACGCGTCAAGAGCGTCCTGATGAACGTCAAGAACGTTGATGTGTTCCGGCTGGAACTGGACTACGATCTGCGCAACCGGATCAAGTCGCAGAAGACGACCTTCGGCCGGTCGACGGCCTTCGACAAGGTCAACTACAATGCCGATGGCCATGTGGTCGAGGTGCTGGGCACCAGCAACTGGAAGTACCTCTTCGACGAGAACGGCAACACGGTGGGCGTGGTCGATCAGGGTGAGAAGTTCAATCTCGGTTACGACATCGGCGACCGGGTGATCAAGGTGGGCGACGTCGAGTTCAATAACTACGATGCCCGCGGCTTTGTGGTGCGGCGTGGTGAGCAAAAGTACCGCTACAACAATCGCGGCCAACTGATCCACGCCTTCGAGCGGGAACGCTTCCAGAGCTGGTACTACTACGATGATCGGAGTCGTCTGGTGGCCTGGCACGACAACAAGGGCAACACCACGCAGTACTACTATGCCAATCCGCGCACCCCGCTGCTCGTCACGCACGTCCACTTCCCTAAGCTGGGCCGCACCACCAAGCTCTTCTACGACGACCGCGACATGCTGATCGCACTGGAGCATGAGGAGCAGCGCTACTATGTGGCCACCGACCAGAACGGTTCGCCGCTGGCCTTCTTCGATCTGAACGGTGCTCTGGTGAAGGAGATCAAGCGAACTCCCTTTGGTCGTGTCATCAAGGACACCAAGCCGGAGTTCTTTGTGCCCGTGGACTTCCATGGCGGTCTGATCGATCCGCACACCAAGCTGATCTACACGGAGCGGCGACAGTACGATCCGCACGTGGGCCAATGGATGACACCGCTGTGGGAGACGCTGGCCACCGAGATGTCGCATCCGACGGACGTGTTCATCTATCGGTATCACAACAACGACCCCGTCAACCCAAGTCGGCCGCAGAACTACATGATCGACCTGGACGCCTGGCTGCAGCTCTTCGGCTACGACCTGGACAACATGCAGAGCAGTCGGTACACGCGACTGGCCCAGTACACGCCGCAGGCCTCCATCAAGGCGCACTCGCTGGCTCCGGACTTCGGGGTCATCTCCGGCCTGGAGTGCATCGTGGAGAAGACGAGCGAGAAGTTCAGTGACTTTGACTTTGTGCCCAAGCCGCTGCTCAAGATGGAGCCCAAGATGCGCAACCTGCTGCCGCGCGTCAGCTACCGCCGCGGTGTGTTCGGCGAGGGTGTTCTGCTCTCGCGGATCGGCGGCCGGGCGCTGGTGAGCGTGGTGGATGGATCGAATAGCGTGGTGCAGGATGTGGTGAGCAGCGTGTTCAACAACTCGTACTTCCTGGATCTGCACTTTAGCATCCACGACCAGGACGTCTTCTACTTCGTCAAGGACAACGTGCTGAAGCTGCGCGACGACAACGAGGAGCTGCGTCGCCTGGGCGGCATGTTCAACATATCAACGCACGAGATTAGCGATCACGGCGGCAGCGCCGCCAAGGAGCTGCGTCTGCACGGACCCGACGCCGTTGTCATCATCAAGTACGGCGTGGATCCCGAGCAGGAGCGTCACCGCATCCTGAAGCATGCCCACAAGCGAGCCGTGGAGCGGGCCTGGGAGCTGGAGAAGCAACTGGTGGCCGCCGGCTTCCAGGGACGCGGCGACTGGACCGAGGAGGAGAAGGAGGAGCTCGTCCAGCACGGCGACGTCGACGGCTGGAACGGCATCGACATCCACAGCATCCACAAGTACCCGCAGCTGGCCGACGATCCCGGCAACGTGGCCTTCCAGCGGGATGCCAAGCGGAAGCGCCGCAAGACGGGCACCAGCCATCGCAGTGCCTCCAGTCGGCGACAGCTCAAGTTTGGCGATCTGAGTGCGTGAGTGGAGGCAGAGATGGAGATGGAGCGGGAGATGGAGATGGGGACAGATAGTGACATGGCCGTCGATGAGGAGGACGGCGAGCAGGAGGACTATCTAATTGCCGTGGGCAGGAAGGAGCCAAGGGACAGCAGCGAGGCACTGGATGAGCAGATTTTGTAATTAGGTGAAAGGCGCATTAGCGACCACGACAGCACAACCAACCAACCAATAACACTCGACGAAACACTCGACACACGAATAGAAAAAGCAAAAGCGAAAAAGCGAAAAAGCAAAAAGCAAAAAGCGAGCATTCAACACACACTAATTAATATAAACTTTAATCATGCTTAAAGTTTAGTATTAGCCACAACGCAGCCCTCGAATAACCGAAGAAACTTCTTATATGTACACAGGAACAGTAATATGTATGTTGATGTTGAGTTTAGGCTAACAATAGGCGTATGTTTAGTCCATGTGTGTGTAATGTTTACAAGTAATGTAATTTTTTAAATCCGAATCAGTGGCATACGCTAGGTATGAAGATTGGTAAAACAAACAAACCGAGCAAATTGGACTCGTATGAGTATTACACAGCAGAATATGCGTACGATAAGTTACATACAGATGTTAAACCACAAAGCGAATAAATGTAAAAAGATTAAAGTTCTCTGTAGTAGCCCCCTAGTCCTTGGCCCCCAGTTTGGCCCACACTCGAAAGGCAATGAAATGTTGATCGCTGCTTCTCACCTGCTCACTGGCTTTGTGTACATAAGACCGAATACTTTTCTATCCCAACTAATATCCCCTAATATCCCTTTGCTGCCGAACAGCGCGCATTTATCCTTTAGTCTAACGATCTTTTTAGCAGAATAGGTGTCTGTACCGAATGCTCGAATTTAAATTTATCAGACGCGTCTACCTTATTTGGATAGCCAAGAATCAAAAGGAGTTTTTACCAATCACCATCCCTACCCCTTCAATGCACAATACAATACTCTACCGACTCTCTTTCACTCATTTTACAATGTTAACTGTTGAATTTATTCAAAGGAAGAATGCATTAAAAACTTTTTACAAATTGTGATATATATTTCTAAACATTTCATTTGACAACTTGAAGTGTAACGAACGAAAATCGAATTAACTCAAATTGAACCGAAAATGAAAATGAAAATGAAAAGCAACCACATGTACTTTACTCATTTTTTTTTAAACATAGTCTTTTACGATTAGTTTTTATGCTGCAATATTTAGTTCTTACCATTTGCCATGTTAATTTGTAAAAGCAATACTGTTTTTAGTAATGAACCACCCTTGTGGGAATTTCACATAGAGCTTAGGGTCTTTTAATTCTGATTTTATTTATGATAATTATTGCAAGAACAATTGCTGCTTTCAAAAACAAAATTTTTTCTCCCTTCTGTGTGGCTGACGTTTTGTCGGTATCTTGTGTTTATAATTATTATTAAACTATTTATAATTGAAGCTAAACTATTGACTATTGAGATATTAACTAGCATAAAACATAGTGCGCATAACGTCTTGCGAAGAACTTAAACATACCCCCTATAACCATAAAACACACCTTGTATTATAAACACCCACGCATACAACTAAACATAGGCTTAAGAACTAGGCTAAGGACAAAGCTCGTAAGGACAGAAAGGATTAGCACCTAACTACAGTGAAAATAAGCGATTGGTTCTGTTGCGATCGATCTGAGGCGGATCGAAAGAGTACAGAAAATAACTGCGTAGTAATTAGCTAAAGTGTTAGTAATTTTATTAAATAAAATTATAAATGAAAAATGGATAAACACTTAAACCCTACATTTAGGAATATACATCACAATCTGAATTCGTTTACTCGAATTGTAAGTCTAGTGCTGTGTAAGAATTGTAATCCTTACACAGAACAAGGTCTTACAAGCTAACGAAAATTGTAAAAATCAGAAGAAACCCGTATATGAATGTGTATGTAATAAAATTAAGCAGCATTATATTAACCAAAAAGCATATAACGAAACAAAACGATTGAAATCAGCATAAAAAGCGAATGCAAATAATTGTGACTGAAACAAGGAAAAGGAAAATTTCTAGAATACCAACCAAGCAGTTGCAAATGGTCGTCGTCAAACTCCAATCTACGTACCCCAAGTCCTTTGTTCTTTAAGTGTACTTTGAACTGTAAATTTCCAGGCAGGGGAAAATGCTTACCCCAATTAATTAGTTGAGATCACGATTAGACTTATTAACTGATTGTAATGAAAAACACGCCACTTTTGAAAGCAGTTTGTCTGCAGTTCGAGCATGCATAAATTGCAACCAATAATTGTATTCAATGTACGAAATTGTCTTTAAAGTATACAGACACCGACAGAAGTGCAGAGGGTGTTGGCTATAAATTACAAATCGATTGCAGAAAACAAAGGACAATTGTATACACAGAAAATACCTATAATTATGGCAAGCCGATATACATACATGATAATACATCCATATAAATACATATAATAACTAATAATATTACGAGTAAAAAGCGATTTCAATAAAAATGAAAACATAAAACAATTTTTTATCATTTTGAATGGGATGTACAAAATAAAACATTGGTAAGTAAGAAGTTAAATGTTGTGGTTGCATGACGGTTACCAATTAAGTCTACTTTCAAGATCTCGGTGTTCATACGGACATGGATATATCGACGAGGTGTTTGATGCTGATCAATACCATAAAATACCAATTTCTTTAACGCAGCTTTGCAAGAACACTCAGATTGCTCGTAACAATTGTATCTAGATTAATAATAATAATCATGACATTTCAATAATCAGACCATAATTAATTTCTGATACGATAAATTATACACGTACGGCGGATTCCCATTTTAAAGTGACATGAATAAAATTCAAGCATTAACAAAAAGGAAGACTAAAGCCGAGTGCAAAGACTATTATATACCCATAATTTGGTAACCCAACTTCGAAATACATATGCCTTCAGAAAACAATTTGGTTTACCTCGGCGCCATGCATCTCGAATTTTTAAATAACCAATCGTGCGTTTATGCCAATAACTGCTAAATTAATGTTTTTTTTTTTTGGTTAAACAAAAGATTTTCAGCCCGAGGGAGCTTAATACAGTAAAATCAGTTCTCTACCTTATAACATCGATTTGATTCAGGCAAACAAACAAAGGAAAGGGATAAAAATTTGTATTTCAAAAATGCCGTCCAACTCTTGATTATTAAATATCCTTTGAACGCAGTATCGGATTGAATTGGCTGCCGTGTCGTTGGACGCGTATTTAAAGTCTTAATATAACCATGGCACAAAAGTCCGACTTTATGCTCCACCGACCCCAACAGCTTCAATATATGCCAACAAATTTTTACTTTCTAAAACTCGTAGTATGCACACTGTATAACGGGCAATAACTGTTCAGAGATCGCCATAAAAATTTTTTTAGATCAGATTTTTCATTGCTGATTTCCATTATTGCGGCTGTATCGTCACTACGTGAATGGCCGTCCACAGTGATTAGGGCACGAATGGTTTAGAAGCACGGATAGTTAGTATCCCAAGCAGTCAAAAACAATTTGTTTATTTTATATGTATGAGTCTGTAAAAATGTGAGTTATACACAAAAAAGGTATCATTTTAAACTTTTAAAAAATATTACTCTTTTAAGACCAATAAATTAAATATTAGTTTATTGCGTTTAAGCTTAATTTATCTCACGTATATCTTGTAAGCAACGGTCGACAATCGATTTACTCACTCAGTTTTAAATTTAGAGACTTGAAACTTTCGCAATCTACTTTTGTTGTACAATTACAGATAAGGGAAGATAACTGTCAATTAAACAAACATTGGTTAGCTTGGTTTTTGTAATATAGCAGGTATCAGGTATGCATATGTAGTTATTTTAACGGTTTATAGGAATTAAAATGTATATCTTTACTGCGATGTGAACTTTTGAGTAATACCATCTGCAAGGGTATAAAAATACAAATTTTAAATTACGAAACCCATATAAGCCCTTATTACGTAGAAACGTATATAAAATTTCATTTCGGTACAAAGAATTAGTTTACAACTTTTCCAAAAAGTTGACGACGTATATTTTATTTTCCTTTCGTTTATAATTTAATACAAAAAAGTACCGAGTTTAACATAAGGTTCGGCCCAACGGGTTCTCCGTGAAGACAACGTTCCCTGAAGGCTGGTTAACGAATTTGGAGTAAGGAGCTGGGGCTATTTCATAGCCTGCTGCTTGTTTCAGTGCGTCCTGGCTACGAGCCAGAACCAACAAATTTCCGCTAAGGTTCTTATCGATGGACTTCAACTCGGTAACATTTTTTTGCTGATCAACAACATAGATATTAAAGTTGACGCCATAGAGGCCAAACAAATGCTCTAACTCGGTGCGAAGCGTGGGCAGTGAGATGAGTTCCTTGCTAACGTTGTGCTGCAGAAATAGCGATGCTTTGTTGCTGTTACCAAAGCGTGGGTTTAGGTCTTCGGCCAAGGATACATTCAACCAGGGCAGACTTGGAAGCTGCAGTTCCTCGGTGGAACAAATGGTCAATTTTAAAGGAACTCCTTTGAGGTCGACGAGTTCGCTGGCTATTACTCGTTTTTTGGCAGCCTGCTTAGATGAATACGGAGCAAACTCCGACTTAACGGCCGTCTTGATCATATTCGTGTAGCTGGCCAAAACCTTTGTTAGCTGAGCCTGCGTCTCTAGGGTCTCCTTCTTGGCTTTGTTGTCGGTAGAGAGCTCATGGAAGATGAGAACCGGATCAGTTGGTATAAGCTGAGCCTTCTTCTTCAATTTCTGCACCCGATTGATGACCTCACGGGCCAGGCCTTCTTCAAGCAGCTCTTCGTTTGGCGTCATGTCCAACAGTACCAAAACATCATTGTCGCTGTGGGCTTCAAAGTTTCCGCCCATCTGCTCTGAGGTGCAGTAAATGATACGAACTTCCTCGAGTTCGACACGCTGATCCAGTATGTTGAAGTATCCCTGCGACACTTGCTTCTGAATTTCCTCATCCTTCAGCGCCTTGATAGCGGCCATTACAGCCTTGAAATTTCCCTTAAGCCGCTGACCCAGCGCCTGACAAGAGAACAGATTGTTATCATATTGCATGCCAACTAAATCCCAGCAGTACAAACCTTGTGATCAGGCTCTGCCCTTAGCGAGACGCCGTATTTCTCTTTGTCGGAGCTCAGAGTGAGTTTGCGGACGTTGAGCTCGCTAAGAATGAAGTCCTCCAAGCTTTTAATAGCCTCCAGGGTCTGTGAGTCCTTGTGGATAACGATAATCTCCGAAACCGGGTACTTAACAGGCAACGTTCGTCGATCCCGCATAACGCGACCCAGCTCGACAACCGATTGCATCAAGGCCACCGAGCGCTCAATATCGCTTCGAATGAACTTGCTCTGACTGACGGGCATCATCTGGTAGTGAACTGAGCCAGCATGCTCCAACGAGCCCGGTGGCTGGAACAGCACCAGCCGCTGGAATATGTACTCCGTGAGGTAGGGTGTGAAAGGAGCCATCATTTTGACCATTGTATAGAGAACGTCGTAGAGCGTGTCCAGTGATTGGATGCACTGCTCAGCTCCCAGTTCTCCCTTGATGCGGCGACGGTTAAGTCGCACATACCTGCAGGAGAAAAGACAATTTTGTGCTTTACCTTGATGGTCTAATCCGTAGTATTAGAGAACCTACCAGTTTGTTAGTTGATCAATGAACTTCGTCAGCCTGGGCACGACCGTGTACAGGCGATACATTTTCATCTCGGTAGCAAAGAATTCGAGCAGAGACTCTTTGAAAGACAAAATCCACACATCGATGACGGAGGCCTTGTCCATATTCTTCAAGTGCCGTTCACGCTCGTATGTGTATTGCCCCTTTCCTGCCAGGTCCTCCTTCTCATAGCGAATAATGTTTTGAAGCAAGAACCGATAGGCGTTGTACCAGGGCAGAAACACGTCCTTGATGACGTCGCGCACACCCTCTTCCTTGAACCGCAGGCTTTCAGCCCGCACCACGGGAGAATTGATAAGGTACAGTCGTAGGGCATCCGCTCCGTACTTATGGACCACATCCATGGGATCTGGATAGTTCTTCTTGCGCTTCGACATCTTTTGGCCATCAGCGGCCAGCACCAAGCCACTGGCAATGAGGTTCTTGAACGGCGCCTTATTGAACAGAGCCGTTGAGATTACTAGGAGCGTGTAGAACCAGCCGCGGGTCTGATCTATGCCCTCTGCTATGAAGTCGGCGGGGAAGTTGTTCATGAAATCCTTCTCGTTCTCGAACGGAAAGTGCTGCTGTGCGAACGGCATCGAACCGGACTCAAACCAGCAGTCGAAGACGGGAGCTATGCGACGCAGTGGTGGATTTCCGGGAACTGCCGACGGTATTTCAATGTCATCGATGGTCTCGCGATGCAGATCCTCAACCTGAATGCCCGATAGTTCGGCCAACTGCTTGATGCTGCCAATGACCACGGTCTCATCCCCGTTGGGCGACCTCCAGATAGGAATCGGCGTGCCCCAGTAGCGGTTGCGGGAGATCTAAAGGGGAATATGTTTAGTCTAGCAAAGAAATTGGGATAACATTGCCATACTCACAGCCCAATCTCTTGCCTCCTTTAGCCAGTTGCCAAATCGTTTCTCCTTGACAAAGTCTGGCACCCAGTACGTCTGCGAACTGCAGTCCAGCAGGTTTTTCGACATGTGCTCGACACGCACAAACCAGGAGGGCACGGCCTTGTAGATTAGCGGTGTGTCTGACCGCCAGCAGAAGGGGTAGCTATGCTTCACCTGGCCACTGGACACCAAGTTTCCCCGTGCCTTCAACGCGGCCATGATCTGCTTGTCGGCATCCTTCACGTACTGACCCTCGAAGTCAGTGGCCTCTTTGGTGAACCGTCCCGACTCGTCAACTGGGCAGATAACATCACTGGACTTTGTGATGAGCCCCGCCGCCAGACATACGCGATAATCGTCCTCGCCGAAGTAGGGGGCATTGTGCACAATGCCCGTGCCGGAGTCCTCGGTGACATAGTCGTCCGTTAGGACGCGGTAGGCTTTCACCTCGGCCCCACGTTTCGCGAAGTACGGGAACAGCGGCTTGTAGTGCAGATCCTTCAGGGTTTTGCCCGCAAACTTGTCCTTCACTTCGTACTCCGCCTCCGATTTGTACACGTACGAGAGACGCGACTCGGCGAGCACGTAGAGTCGATCGCTCTTCACGTCGCGCACCTTAACGTACGACATCGTGGGATGGACACAGCATGCGAAGTTCGAGGGCAGGGTCCAGGGCGTGGTGGTCCACACCAAGAAGAATGTGTTGGGCAGCGAAACTGCCTCTAGGGCGACCACCACACAAGGGTCAACGACCTCCTTGTAGTTTTGGTTCGCCTCGAAGTTGGACAGCGATGTTGTGCAGGCGGTGGAATAGGGCATCACTTTGACGCCCTGGTAGACCAGACCCTTGTCGAACAGCTGCTTGAAGATCCACCAGATGGACTCCATGTACCAGGGGTACAAGGTCTTGTAGTCGTTCTTGAAGTCGATCCAGCGCCCAACGCGCGTCACCACGTTCTCCCACTCGTCGGCGTACCGCATGACGATCTTGCGACACTCGGCGTTGTAGGCAGCGATGCCCATCTTGGCCACGTCCTCGGGCCCCCGGATGTTCAGCAGCTTGTCGATCTCGAACTCCACCGGCAGACCGTGGCAATCCCAGCCGAAGCGGCGGTCCACATGGTATCCCTGCTGGTAGGCGTACCTCGTAACGATGTCCTTGATGGTGCCGGCCAGGATGTGTCCGTAGTGGGGCAGCCCGGTGGCGAAGGGCGGTCCGTCGTAGAACGTGTATCTGGTGACACATTTCCAGGTTAGCTATAGGCTGATGCAATCGACAGCGGCAATTGCAATTGCACTTGCACTTACTTGGGCTTTCCCTTCGACAGCTGGCTGCACTTTTCAAAGATATTTTCGTCACGCCACTGCTGCAGAACGCTCTCCTCCTCGGCCGGAAAATTGATGTTCTCCGGCACTCGGCCAACGTCGCTGCGCTCCAGTTTCTTTCCCATGACTGTCGAAGGAGAATGTTGAAGTATTCATAAAGCACAATTGCATATTCCCCACCTTTTATATCAGAAATCAAAGCAATTTGCGGCGATTTTGCGTGGCACACAACGTGCACTATGGTAAGGAACTACTGGTTCGCTCCGTTCGTTCGCTCACCGGCTGCCGATATCGATAGTTCGCACCGATGACCGGTTAACGATAACCACACTGAACAAATAAGTTCTACACTATTAAGCATTAAAGATAACGAAATCAATTTATAGCAAAATGACCCGCGTTACTGAATTGTTTTTTATTTTTAAAACTTAAATAAATTTGTATTATATGCAAGTATTGCGTTATTGATTAATTGCTATATCTTGTTCGACAAATGTGGCTTTTAATAGACTTGGGATGATTGAATTTTGGAAATTTCAGAAAGTTAATTTTGTACGGAACAGCGGGCAAACAGATTTACTATAATTTAAAAGGCCAAACTTTTTTTTTAATTCAATTTTTTTGCCTAATCGGCAAGGTCGTATCTTAAATAGTTTTTGAATGGCAGCGAACTAAAGAGCAACCGCTCTACAAACGCGATTTCTCGAAACGACATTTTTAAAAACTGCTGATATCATAGCTCGACTATATATGCACCGATCGGTTTGAAATTATAGCTCAATCATCTTAAAATGGTCCCATCTATAACGACACACGAGTTAGACTGGTTGAAAATGTTCAAATTGGGATAATTTAAAAGGTGATTCTTAAACCACAGAAGACAACATTCTGTTTAAATCTGGCATCGGGTAATACTGTTAATATTTTTAATTTTTTTTACGATCTTAGGTCGTTGTACTGGAAATATATTTAGCTTTCTCGATTTTAGCCACTTTTTTGACCGGAATCATATCAAACTTCCCTCATTAGTCGATATTTTTGTGAAACCAAAATCTTAAAAAATAGTTAAAAAATTTAACTTTTAATTTGCAAAACCCTTAAAATCCCATAAACCCATAAAAAAAATAAAAAATTGCCACTTTTCATGTGTTACACTGGTATAGCCCCTTAAATTGCTAAATATATGAAATCTTAACACTTGGAAAATAAAATATTTATGAATAAGTTTGTAAACAGATGAGCAAAATTCAATTGTTCAGCTCTGATAGGCAGCGAATACCCCAATTAATATTATTACCAAATTCTAGCTATTTTTCTATATGACTATCGATATATCGGCAATAGCAGTGATTTTCTCATCACTAGCCCGAGATCAAGAAGAAGAGTTATGTGTACACTTTTGTGTCGCTCTTTTTGGCCAATTTAAGAACCGAAACAGCATTAGTAACGGGACAGATTAGGGCTTATCGCTTGCCAACGAAGTTCGCCAGCGCACATTCGTGTTCTGGGATCCAGCGGAAACGCGTCTTCAGCCAGTCGTCGTCGCCAACAGTCAGCGGAGATGGCACGCCCAATTTTTCCGAACCAGCAGAAGATAGCTGAGAAACTAATCATCTTGAACGACCGCGGACTGGGCATTCTGACGCGGATATACAACATCAAGAAGGCCTGCGGCGACACCAAGTCGAAGCCGGGCTTCCTCTCCGAGAAGTCGCTGGAGTCGAGCATCAAGTTCATTGTGAAGCGATTCCCCAACATCGACGTCAAGGGCCTGAATGCCATCGTGAACATCAAGGCGGAGATCATAAAGTCGCTGTCGCTGTACTACCACACATTCGTCGACCTGCTGGACTTCAAGGACAATGTCTGCGAACTGCTCACCACGATGGACGCCTGCCAGATCCATCTGGACATCACGCTGAACTTCGAGCTGACCAAGTACTATCTGGACTTGGTGGTGACCTACGTGTCCCTGATGATCGTCCTCTCCAGGGTGGAGGACCGCAAGGCGGTGCTGGGCCTGTACAATGCCGCCTACGAGCTGCAGAACAACCAGGCCGACACGGGCTTCCCTCGCCTCGGCCAGATGATCCTCGACTACGAGGTTCCCCTCAAGAAGCTGGCCGAGGAGTTCATACCCCACCAGCGCCTGCTGACGAGTGCGCTGCGCTCGCTGACCTCCATCTACGCGCTGCGGAATCTGCCCGCCGACAAGTGGAGGGAGATGCAGAAGCTGAGTCTGGTGGGCAATCCCGCCATTCTCCTCAAGGCCGTGCGCACGGACACCATGTCCTGCGAGTACATCTCGCTGGAGGCCATGGACCGCTGGATAATCTTCGGCCTGCTGCTCAACCACCAAATGCTCGGCCAGTACCCGGAGGTCAACAAGATCTGGCTGTCTGCCTTGGAATCCAGTTGGGTGGTGGCTCTGTTCCGCGACGAGGTGCTGCAAATCCACCAGTACATCCAGGCCACCTTCGACGGAATCAAGGGCTACAGCAAGCGGATCGGCGAGGTCAAGGAAACCTACAACACGGCGGTCCAAAAAGCCGCTTTGATGCATCGGGAGCGACGCAAGTTTCTGCGAACTGCCCTGAAGGAGCTGGCCCTAATCATGACGGACCAACCCGGTCTGCTCGGACCCAAAGCAATATTCATTTTCATCGGTCTTTGCCTGGCACGCGACGAGATTCTTTGGCTCCTCAGGCATAACGACAATCCGCCGTTGCTCAAGAATAAAGGTTAGTACGCCAACTGATTTGTAAATATTGTTCTAACTCCATTTACTTGTGTTTCAAAGGAAAGAGCAATGAGGATCTGGTGGACCGGCAGCTGCCGGAGCTACTGTTCCACATGGAGGAACTGCGCGCTCTGGTGCGTAAATACAGCCAGGTGATGCAGCGGTACTACGTGCAATACTTGTCCGGCTTTGATGCCACGGATCTGAACATTCGGATGCAGAGCCTGCAAATGTGTCCGGAAGACGAGAGCATAATCTTCAGCTCGCTCTACAACACAGCCGCAGGCCTGACTGTCAAGCAGGTGGAGGACAACGAGCTCTTTTACTTCCGACCATTCCGCCTGGACTGGTTCCGCCTGCAGACGTACATGAGTGTGGGCAAGGCTGCCCTTAGGATCACAGAGCACGCGGAACTGGCCCGCCTGTTGGACTCGATGGTGTTCCACACGCGAGTGGTCGACAATTTGGACGAGATACTGGTGGAGACGTCGGATCTGAGCATCTTCTGCTTCTACAACAAAATGTTTGACGACCAGTTCCACATGTGCTTGGAGTTCCCCGCCCAGAACCGCTATATTATAGCCTTTCCATTGATCTGCAGCCACTTCCAGAACTGCACGCACGAAATGTGCCCGGAGGAGCGCCATCACATTCGAGAGCGGTCGCTCAGCGTGGTGAACATCTTCCTCGAGGAGATGGCCAAAGAGGCTAAGAACATCATAACCACCATTTGCGACGAGCAGTGCACCATGGCCGACGCTCTTTTGCCAAAGCACTGTGCCAAGATCCTGTCCGTCCAGTCGGCCCGCAAAAAGAAGGACAAATCGAAGTCGAAGCATTTCGACGACATCCGAAAGCCCGGCGACGAGTCGTACCGAAAGACGCGGGAGGACCTCACCACGATGGACAAGCTGCACATGGCCCTGACGGAGCTCTGTTTCGCCATCAACTATTGCCCCACTGTCAACGTTTGGGAGTTTGCATTCGCCCCACGCGAATATCTCTGCCAGAATCTGGAGCACCGCTTCTCCCGGGATCTTGTGGGCATGGTGATGTTCAACCAGGAGACAATGGAGATCGCCAAGCCGTCGGAGTTGCTGGCCAGCGTGCGAGCCTACATGAATGTGCTGCAGACCGTGGAGAACTACGTGCACATAGACATAACCCGAGTCTTCAACAACTGTTTGCTCCAGCAAACGCAGGCCTTGGACTCGCATGGCGAGAAGACCATTGCCGCTCTCTACAACACCTGGTACAGTGAGGTGCTGCTAAGGCGAGTGTCCGCCGGCAACATAGTGTTTTCGATCAACCAAAAGGCCTTTGTGCCCATCTCGCCCGAGGGCTGGGTGCCGTTCAATCCGCAGGAGTTCTCCGATCTTAACGAACTGCGAGCCCTGGCCGAACTCGTGGGTCCCTACGGCATTAAAACACTGAACGAGACCCTGATGTGGCACATAGCCAACCAGGTGCAGGAGCTGAAGTCGCTGGTCGGCACCAACAAGGAGGTGCTCATCACTCTGCGCACCAGCTTCGACAAGCCCGAGGTGATGAAGGAGCAGTTCAAGCGGCTGCAGGACGTGGACCGTGTGCTGCAGCGCATGACGATCATAGGGGTGATCATCTGCTTCCGCAATCTGGTGCACGAGGCTCTCGTCGATGTGCTGGACAAGCGCATACCCTTTCTGCTCAGCTCTGTGAAGGACTTTCAGGAGCATCTGCCCGGAGGAGACCAGATCCGTGTGGCCTCCGAAATGGCCTCGGCAGCTGGGCTGCTCTGCAAGGTGGATCCCACATTGGCCAGTACGCTGAAGTCGAAGAAACCGGAGTTCGATGAGGGTGAGCACCTCACGGCCTGTCTGCTGATGGTCTTTGTGGCCGTCTCCATTCCAAAACTGGCCCGCAACGAGAACTCCTTCTACCGGGCCACCATCGATGGCCACTCGAACAACACGCACTGCATGGCGGCGGCCATCAATAACATCTTCGGCGCGCTGTTCACCATCTGCGGGCAGAGCGACATGGAGGACCGCATGAAGGAGTTTCTTGCCCTGGCCAGCTCTTCCCTGCTGCGTTTGGGTCAGGAGTCCGACAAGGAGGCGACCCGCAACCGAGAGTCCATCTACTTGCTGCTCGACGAGATCGTCAAGCAATCGCCCTTCCTCACAATGGATCTGCTGGAGTCCTGCTTCCCCTACGTACTCATACGCAACGCCTACCATGGCGTCTACAAGCAGGAACAGATATTGGGGCTGGCACTCTAAGAGCTGTGTATTCCGAACATTGCTTACATAGTTTATCCGCCGATCGACGACTGTCGATCCTTATGCTAATCTAATATACTTTAAAACTGTTAAACATACCCTAATGTATTCTATTCTAGACACTGCATTTTTATACTCGTGCAACTTCGAATAAAGTGCTTATGTAAACCAAAATGATAACGAAATGCTGATTTGTATGTTATCTCTTGATCGGTATGTATATTCTTTATTTCGGCTTATTGAAATATGTGCCCACTCCCTCGAACGTGCAGCTTCTCGGCTTAAATTTCTGTTACACTTTCTTTGGACACATGCGCACATGTGTGTGTATATTAAATGTGTGTGTTTTAGGGGAAAAACCTTCCACAATATTAAATTATTTGGTCACGTTCAATATTACTTTGTAGGCTTGTGTACAAATTCGAGTAGGCAAGTAGTAAAATATGTTTTCGTTATTGGTAATGCGGTTTCTCTCAATAATTATCATTGGTAGTATTTAAGTTTCGATTTTGAGTTTTCAATTCCGATACAAAGACTTTTATTCAATACTTTATTGATTTTTCTCATTTTCAGTGAACTGGAAAAGGTTCGTTTTCACGGATGCTAAGAGCATTTTCCAATTTTGTGTCAAATAATAAGTATTGCAAACCGAAAACGCTGAAATCTTTTCATCTCCAAAATAGGCTTTTCGATCTAGAATAAGTTTCGGTTAAATGTACCAAAATCACTACACGCTGCTAAAAAGCTGTCAATATTTGAATTTTCATCTGTATTTCTGTTAAACATTACCGATATCTACAATTGGGCTTCGTTAATTATACACATACCATATTATTGTATTAATTTTATAGAAGGTATCATTAATTATGTGATGCTGAATATTTTTCTAGTTCGTATAATTTATTTAGCATGTCTCATTTGTTTGGTTTTATTTTTGGTTTCGCATGAAAATGTTTTCCTTTTCAGTCAGTCAGTTTAGGCATCTGTTGACTTCAAAATTGTCGTCATTGTCTTTTGTTTTTTGTTTTTGTTTCACTTGTTTCTCATTTAATAAAAAATATATATATGTATGTATGTATGTATATGCTTATATGCACGTTGTCGAAATAAAAACTTGAAAAACATTATGCGCAACTTCTCGTGTTTGCTATCGTCGTTAAAAATAAAATCGCTTCTTTAGTAATTACATTTTAAAGCTCTCAAGTACAAAAATTAAAAAGCTTAAAAAATTCCCCGCGTAACGGCCTCTTCACATGTTGTGTGTGTGTATAAGGTGTGTGTGTATCGAGTCCTATAATGCTAACTTTCCTTCATCGGATCTCCTTGCTATCGTACATATATATTATTCCTCTTTATAACAAAGTGGTTTGCATATAAAAGTTAAGCCTAGAAATACAATACGAGTACGAAATATGTACGTATGTTATGCATGTATTACTTAAGTGTGCCCGTGTGTCAGTTGTCTTCTGCTTGCAGCTTCTTCTGCGCGAATTCTTGAGCATCTAGACGAACCTTAGACGAACTCCTAGACGAACTCCTCCTGCTCCAGCCACGGATGCTGCAGGCACTCGGCTGCCGATGCGCGTATGACTGGATTGTACTCCAGCATGGGCAGCAGGAAGTCGGAGAACTTCTTGGCCTCCACCGGATCCCAGTCATACTTCTCCACCAGCACGTTCTTCAGACTCCAGGGCTTCAGCTTGGTGATGTTCCTCAGGCTGCCTGCAAACGCAAATCGCCGCGAGGCTGTTACCCCACTCTGTCCGTCGGATATCTACCGCCAGCGATACCTACCATAGCTGGTGAAGTACTTCAGGCCGTGCTTGCCCCGCAGGATCACCGACTGCGGAATGGAGCCCAGCAGCTCGACGATGTGCGCCAGGTGGTCCTCGTCCCGACTGTACGACTCGCCGGCGTGCGGGTCGAACAGGTAGTCGCCCGTGGCCAGCTCGAAGGCCAGGCAGGCGGTGCTCCAAATGTCGGCGGTATAGTTGTACGGCGCACCCAGCAGCACCTCGATCGATCGGTACTGACGCGTCTGGATGTCCTCGGTGAAGTGATGATACTGGGGGATACAAATAAAGTCAGTTTTATTTTATAACTTTAGCAGAGGATATTCTAATTTCATTCAAAAGTATGCAACTCAGTGAAGGAGACGTTACAGACCCTTTAGAGTATATATATTCTTGATCAGCATCGATAAGGGAGTCCGACTGTCCGTTCGTCCGTTTCTACGCGAACTAATCTGTCAGTTTTAGGGCTATATTTCCCAAAACTGGTCTTTCTATGGAAGGTAGTACAGAAGTCGGAACGAGCCGTATTGGATGACTAAATCATATAGCTCCCATGGGAACAATCGGAAAAAATATATATATAACTTCTGTTTTTTTTTTTATATTTATCAATATATATATAGTAATGGTTAGACATTTGAAAATTACGTTTTTCATATCATTAAATTCGGACGACTATATCATAAAGCTCTCGATTAAAGAAATTATAAAAATAAATAAAAAAAATTCAACTTCGCTGATTTTTAATTTTTAGCATTCATTAAAAATAAAGTAATATTTTAGGAACATTTTTTTTTTATTCTTCTGTCTGTCCCTCTGTCCGTCCGTTCTATGCAAACTAGTTTCTCAGTTTTAAAGCTAAATGGATATAGTTTAAACAAAAAACTTCTTTTTTTCAGGTAGTATATAAATTAGGAATAATCGGATTAAAAATAGACATTTTTCAATTTCAGAAATACATTTAAATTTTATAAATAGTGGACTTTTCTAAGGCCATTGAAAAGATCCGTAAAATGAATAGGAAAATAATTAGAAAATGGACTGAACTTAGTTGTTTCTATAAATTAAATTTAAATTAGGTTTTTCATATCATTAAATTAGGACGACTACATCATAAAGCTCTATAAAAAAAATTATAAAATTAAATAAAAAAATTCAACTTCGCTGATTTTTAATTTTTAGCACTCATTAAAAATAATGGTTGCATTTTTTAGAAATATGTTTTTTTTTCTGTCTGTCCCTCTGTCCGTCCGTTTTATGCCAACTTGTTTCTCAGTTTTAAAACTAAATAGATATAGTTTAAACAAAACTCTTTTTTTCAGGTAGCATATAACTTAGGAATAATCTGATTGAAAATAGATATTTTTCGATTTCAGAAATACATTTAAATTTTATAAATAGTGGACTTGTCTAAGGCCATGGAAAAGATCCGTAAAATAAATAGGAAAATAATAAGAAAATCGACTGAACTTAGTTGTTTCTCAATATAAATTAAGTTTAATACAATTTTATAAAAATCGAACAACACTCTAATATAGCTTTCGAACAAAAAAGTTACACCTTTACGCCTTAAAATCGATCACACTCGAGGGTAAGAAAGTATCCTGTTTTTAAGAATCAAGGTACTCACGTCGTAGCAGGCGTTGCCCAAGTCGGCGATCTTCACGCGGACGTTGCTGTTGTTGATGAGCGACTGGATCGTGTATGTGTTGTTCTGGCTACTCTGACTCTGGTTCTGCGAAGGAATGGCATTGGCATTGACATTTAGTTTAGCGATGGCTGGTGTCGTTGTTGTTGTTGTTGTTGTTGTTGTTGTCGCGGAGATTGTCGATGTGCTTGTTGTTGTATGATCGCCATTAAGGAGCTCAGTGATTGCGGTTGCTGTTGCTGTACAAGTTGTACTGGTAGTTGGAGCTTTTGGAGCTGTTGCAGTGGGCGCTGTATGCGTAAACGAGGGCGTGCACGTGCTGTGGGGCGTGGCAGAGGCTGTGGCGATGGCGATGGAGAGTGTGGCACTTGGAGGGGCGGAAGTGAAGGCTGTATCGCTACAGGTGTTCGTGTTCGTGTTCGTGTTGGTAAGACTGTATTCGTTGGGCAAGGACGTGCACGTGCTCGAGTTGATCTTGGACTTGGCTATCGTGTGGGTGTTGTGGGTGTTGTGGGAGGGACAGGAGGTGTTGGTGGAGTTCGGGGTGGGCAGCTGCACCGTGTGTACACAGCGTAGTGTTGCATACAAATTGGTTCACACAAAGAAAGGAAGAAAAGAATACACAATGTTGGTTGCTTATTGTAGGTTTCTCTAGTTGGTGCGTATAACAAAACACATACGGCATGGAGATCAAAACTGGGATTCTCTGTTGAAACCCCAACGGTGATCACCACTGATTAGTAGCTCAACGGAATACTCTAGTGTTGGGTAAACTCGATCACTTTGGTGAACAAGTTCAGTTGCTCACTTTTTATGGAGTGAACAAACTCACTCACTTTGATCACTCACTTGTTGAGTTTCTCACTTGTTCAATTATTTAGTTGTTCAGTTGCTCATATGTTCAGTTGTTCAGTTATTCGGTTGCTCATTTGTTCAGTTTTTTTATTTTCTCAGTTATTTAGTTGTTCAGTAAATCAGGTTTGCTTACAAAATTCACTTGCTGACAATTTTTTTGGTATTCATGATGTCTTATTTGGCCAATGTTATTGTTAACATCCCTCTTATCAAAGAATTCAATATCAGTACATTGTTAAATGTCGTGTTATTTCAGATCATATAAATATTTATGAAGGTAATATAAGGAAATAACTAGTCAGCAAATAAAACAATTCAGCGAACAAAGATCATTAAACAACTGCTTTACTGAATAACTGAGCCACTGAACTGAACAAATGAACTGAACAACTAAGCAACTGATCAAATGAGTAACTGAACAGTTGCAAAAGTGAACAATTGAACAAGTGAGCAACTGAACAAGTGAGTTACTGAGCAAGTGAGCAAAAAAAACACAATTATTTAGTTTCACTCACTCACTTAAGTGAACAACTCTTTTTTGTTCACTCATTCATGAGCAACCCAACTCTAGAATACTCAGATCGGCATTCCGTTTTGATTTAATATAACCATATATTTGAGTACGACATCGGTTATTTTAAGAACAAAGCCTACACATTAACCTACATCATTCACACAGTTGTGGTCAAAATAAGTTTACATTTATTTTAAATAGGTATGTATATAAATATGCATTAAAGTTGTGTATTTTGAAGTACAAATATTTGTATTGTAATTGATTTTCCAATTTTAATTATTAAGTTATGAGCTAAAAACCAATTTATAATTCATATAAACTCAAATTTCATTCGTTAAAATACTTTGTTTGTCTAGAAAATTGATTAATTAATTTGTACTTATCAGATTACTTTGACCGCAACTGGATATTTACACCAAGAAGGTTTAAAATTAACAGGTAATAATGGAAGCATTAAGCATTGGGGTAAAGCCCGTGGCACAAAACATCTAAAGCTGGCAATGTCCACATTCCATCAAGCATTTGGCTTTCGTTCCAGGAGTTAATAGACGAAATTAGGCATGTGGGATAATTGTGGGTGTGGGGCAAACAAATGTGAACTAAAGATTGGAAGTCAGAATCGGTAAGTAAGCAGCGGAGGCGGGGTATCCCCCTCATGGCAAAACATATAAAGCTAAATCGAAAAGCGAACTCTAGGGACCGGGTTACCACTAGCGCCTATCCCACATCCAAACGCACATTACCTCAGGGACCTTGACCTCGCTAGGATTGGCCTCGGGTTCGGTTTCGGTTTCAGTTTCGGTTTCGGTCTCGGTTTTGGGCTCGGTTTTGGGCTCGGTTTCGGACCCAGGCTCGGGCTCGGGCTCGGGATCGGTGGGCGTGTCGGTGGCCATGCTCTGCTCGCCCAGCGTGTCGGACTCGGCACCTTCCTCACAATCCCCAGAAGACTGTTTCGGGGTCAAACCAAAAACGCGAAAATAAAACAAACGAAACGAAACGAATAAGAATAAGAATAAGAATTTCGTGTTTCTTCGGTGTGCAGCAGTGTTTGGTGTTGCAGGTGGGTCACAATATGAAGAGTGCAAATGCTTGGCATGCACACCACGACGGGTAATCCTGGCCAGAGCTTTCGAGTGTGGGGGGGGGAGGGGCAGGGGCAGGGGCGACTGGAGACCTGTTGACCAGTTGACCTATTGACCCGGTCACACTGGAAACAAACTCACCTTGGCAGTGATTTTCTTCTCGGCTCGATAGCGGTTGCTCAGACTCGCCGATCCGCCGAGGCCTCCGTTGCACTCGCTGTCCCCCAGCAGACTGGAGTACTTGGAGGCCAACGAGGAGGTGGTGTTGGAGTTGAGCGTGGACGAGGTGGTGGTGGTGTCTTCTTTGTCCAGCGAGGACATGATCACGGCTGCGAGCGGCGTCGACGAGCTGGAGTTGTTCGCCGTGCTGTTGCTGTTGCTGGTGTTTGTGGTGTTGTTGGTGTTGGTGTTGACCGACCCATTCGGCTCAATCAGTGGCCACTTGGCCCGCGACTTGGTCTGCTTCTCGATGGAGCTGACTGGGGAAGCACAAAGTCATGGCTACCATGGATCATGGTTGAATGATTGAAAGGCGGTTCTACTCACTGTACGAGTCGGGGAAGTCGGCACCCTTCACCCGCAGACTGTTGATCTCGTCGTCGATCTGCTGGTTCATTGCGGCCGCGTTGTCGATCACCAGCAGGATGTTCTCCGGCTTGATGTCCGTGTGGATGATGCTGCACTTGCTGTGCAGGTAGTCCAGTCCCTCCAGCACCTGGCGGATGATGTTGCGCACCTGGGCGATGGCCAGCCCCTGGTAGTTGTTCTTCACGATCAGCTTGTACAGGCTGCAGCCGAGTGCCTCGAAGACCAGGCACGTGTGCATCCCGTTCACGCCGCGCACCGTGAAGTGGTTCATCAGCCGCACGATCCGCTCCCGCTTGACGTCCATGGGATCGGCATCGCGGATGGCCTCCAGCAGCCTGATCTCATCCGCCGCGGTCTCGATGTAGTGCGGAGCACTCTTCACCACCTTGAGGGCCACGTACTTCTCGTCTCTGCGGGACAGGAGATGTGCGATTGGTACCTTGTCATGACTCCCGAGGCGAAACACTCACTTGAGATCCCGGCAGAGCCAAACCGTGGAGAAGTGGCCCCAGCCCAGTTTGCGCACCACGCGAAACCGATTGTCGAAGATGTCCCCGATGACCACCGGGTGGTAGCCACCGCGACAGTACTGAGAGGCGTCCTCCTGCTCCTCGTCCGAAACGTAGAGGCTGCTGTCGGACGAGTCCGGGTAGATTTCGTCAGTGGTGCTCAGCGTTCCGCGGGGCTCCGATCTAAAAGTAGATTGGAAAGTTGAGTGAGTTTAGAACTTTTCGAATTCGAATTCTGTCTTCCAAAGAGCATAGGTTATAAGGTCCCCCCCCCCAAAACACACTTAAACTCGGGATGTTCCTCGTCTGCATCTGCGTTGGCATCCTCCTCTCTGACCGGCTCTGGCAACTGAGGCAACTTGATGGTGAGCGGCTGCTCCCGCGGCGGCAAGTAGGTGTCCAGGACCACTTCTCCGGGCGACACGGGCTCAAAGATCAGGGCCAAATGCCGGTGGTGCTTGGGCCGCTGGGACTGGTGGCGCAGGGCGACGAGGATGGGGCCGGCGGAGACGCAGTTACGCTTCTTGGTGAACCGCTTGCGCCGTTTCTTCTCCTCCACCTCCAGCAGGGCCTCGGTGGCCGCCTCCTGGGCGGCGCGCTTCTCCTGCTCCGACACAAAGTTGAAGTCGCGGCTCAGCTCCTTGGCCACTTCGGAGGTGGCGTCCAGGGACGGCTGCGGTCCGGCGCCGCAGCTCCACAGGCGCAGCAGATGCATCAGGAAGAGGAACAGCAGCAGCAGACTGCCCTGGAGCACGCCCACGAAGATCGGGTCCTGGGCGAGGGTGGCCACGATGTGCCGGCCCAGCTGGGTCAGATCGCCGGCCACGGAGGCCAGCAATTGCAAGCGCTGCAGACAATCCGGGTAGAGATCGAACCACCAGTGATCCAGCAGGGTCCACCTTGTGACATTGGCCTCCACGGGGCAGGTGGGGAGTGGCCCCCAGCCAGCCATGGTGACTCGCTTCACTGCTTGATTCGACAATTGTACTTCCTCCTCGGCGTTCGCGCGTTCATGGCCCCCGCTGCAGTAACGGGGGGCGGCTGTGGGCTGTGGGCGTGCGTGTGGGCGGGAGGGCGGACGACGACCTTGACTTTTGTAGGCCTAGGCCCCAACTTGCATCACGGACACCCCCAAACGAGTTTGGTCGAAACTCAAACACTGGGCTGGCACACACACACACACACACACGCGCGCACACACACACCCCTTACATAACAGTGGACCGCGCGGGGTAAATAAATAAAATATCGCACAGCGGAAAAAAAAATGTGAATTATGAAAAGTATCTGTATCTGCGCGAGTATCTTTCTTCGCTCGTCCGATTCGTTCAGTCGCGTCCGCGAGAATGTCGAAATGCTTTTCGCTTTTCACTTTTCACATTTCGGTTCTCGCTTTTGTTTTTGCCGCCTCTTCCTGAGCGGTTCAAGGCGCAGTCGTTTCCAACTCGCGCGAGTATTTTCTGTTATTTCTGTTCCGTTCGCTTCGGTTCTGCTCTGCGCTGCGCTGCTCTGCTCTGCTCTGCCTTTTTGTCACAACTAAGTTTAGTCTTCGTCCGCTCTCCTTTCGTCCCAATCCCCCCTTTGGCCGCCCTAGATCACCTAGAATCCGTGCCCACCGATAGTTTTCCGTAAAGTGTTACATTGAGAAAAACCCAAGAGCACGACAAATTTCAGATAATATATACATATAATAACATCTTCTGTCTCCCAATTTCTATCGAGTATGTCAAAGAAATAATGTTCGGGAAAATAACAACAGATAACAAGTTGGAATTGGGTTGGTCTGGTCAACTTGATTTAAGTAAATAAATTGATTTAAGTAGTACGTGCTTTTTTGGCAACAAAGTATTCAAATTGACGGATAGAGCGAAGGTCCTAGTCCTACTAATTAGTCCTTGCATTCTACGCTTTACGCGTAACTACCCCTAGATGTAATATTGTATATCATATATAATGTTATCCATTTCTTAAATCCCGAATCTACTGTCAAATATTCTTATTCTGAGCAGTAAAGGACAAGAAAAACTATTTAAAAAATTAACCTTTTTTATACTAAATTAAATAATATTTTGAGCTAAAAAGTAGATTCAATATATTAAGAATATCTGTGTTTGCTAATATTAAAAAAAATATTTTTTTTCATTCGCGAGAAGATAAAAAAGGGGTTTTAAACCTCTAGTTTCTTTGTCAATGTTGCTTGAAATTGTATATTCACAGTTTACCCTCTCTTATTCCGTAGGCACCCAAAACGATCTTCTGGAAAGTGATTCTACATAGTTGTGCAGTTTAAGTAATATTTTATCAAACTACAGGCGCTTTTTTCCGCTGTGTATTTTCTGCTGGCGTCATTATCCAATGTACTTCATCAAGTCGATGTCGTTGCCGTCGTTGTTCGGCGCCTTGGTCGGTCATGGACTGCACCACACCAGGAAAGAATCCACCAGCACCACATAAGCACACACATGCGGGGCCCATCCACATCAACATCACCATCATCATCATCATCATCATCATCATCGAGTTCCTCTAGATTTGCCGGGCACCGTGCCAAGTTTGCCCTCGCCCATGTGGATGAGTGTTCGACAAGCAGGATTTCAAATACCTCGAATTCCAGAAGGTTTCGAAACCACATCGAAAGGTAGCTTTTCGAGCGTTCGGTTGCGATTGAAAAGTCCCCGCAATGCAATTGCAGCCCGCCTCGTGCACAATATGCAAATGTTTGGGCTCACAAAATGACTAACCAGACTTTATTGATTTTTGCCACCCCTCCTTACTTGGGCAAGTCTAGTAAGTCTTTGTTCCCAATGGAGCTAGAACGACTCCTTTAAAGGCGAACCTCTTGAGTCACCCTATGTCGAACGCACCCTACTCGGCGCTGTAACCTCCACATTACTATTTATAGGCGCCCGAAGATGCATATAAAATCGCTGAGGAAATCAGTGCGAAAACAGAGCATCTAGAGGCAGAGAAACGTCATCGTTTTGCTCGATTGCACTGAGTTTTTGCGATTTCGTGGGCAGACGTGGATGGTGGGGATGGGGGGCGGTGGTTTCGGGGTGGTTGGGGATGCCTGTTGGTTACCCACTGGCGTCACGTGGTGCCAACTTGCGGTTAAGGCAAATTAAAAACGTAAACAAACCGAGCGGACAGCGTAAGGGAAGTAATGGGGGCGGTCGGCTTAGGATTACGATGATGTTGAAAGTGGGAGGTGGGAGGCAGGAGGGTGGTGGGTGATGGTAGTTCGCTTGCCACCACAATTGGAAAAAACTATGCCACACAAGTGGTATGTGGGTGATGTGTGGAATTGTTATCCCATTTTGGGTTTCACTTGAAAGCCAGCGCACTGTGGGACGGAGGGGATCGATCGAAAGTGCTCCACGTTTGGCCGTCTGTCACCTACCAAGGCCCACTGTACCTGCACAGTGGGAACGCAAACAGTTGGCCGGGCCAAGCACACAGATATTGAAGCCGCTCGTCACAGTTTGACGAATTTATTGGTTGTGCGAGAGACACGTGGCACACACGGAGCGTAAACTTTATTTTCATAACTTATCCGCATGTGAGTGAAATGAAAATCCAGAAAGAAAGCTTACTTCCATATACCCTTGTAGCTCTAAGAAAAATGTATTAGTTTATTCCATCACTTCCTATAAATAAAATTGTATAAACTCCATTCAACAAAAACCCCTCAAACGATTAAAAATGTCTTTATATTTGCGTTTTCAACATATTTACATTCTGGCATCAAATGTTGTGACGAAAACTGCTAATACATTGTACTAATCTTATACAAAATATTGTAAAATGTTCACTTAAGAACCGCTGCAGCAAAACAACAAGCAAAACAAGAGCAAGTTTCTTACCTATACAGGTATTTTGTCTTGTAGCGTGCCCTAATGGAAAGTCGAAAATATAAACTAGTTTACATCAAAGTTGGGTTATTACATGTCAGCAATATTAAAAACTGGTTTTCATTTCTTTGAAATTGAAAACGGATAACCATTTCTATTATTTATATTCTATTTTGCATTGCAAAATAAAAAATAAATAAACTAAAAAAAAAAATCATAGCATCCAATTTAATTATTTCAACAAAGTTCTGGAGCAATTCTATGCGTTTTTTTTTTGATGCATGTGAAAAATTTATTTAAAAACTTTCAAAAACCTTTCACTAGCTTTGTGCCTGAATAAATTTTATACCCTTGTAGAGTATTATAATTTCAGTCAAAAGTTAGCAAACGCAGTGAAGGACGCATTTCCGGTCCTATAAATTATATACAATTCCGGTTAAAATAGTAGTAGTTTTTTAGCTTTAGGATATATCAATCAAAAATATATCAACTTTTAAAATATTATTTGTATATTTTCGTGAATCTAATACGATAAACTAAATGGGGCAAAATAAGAATTTTAAATTATCATAGGTAGTTTTATCAAAGATATATAAAATTTTGTACGTTTTTAATTTGAAAAATTTTATAAACATTTTCGTTCCGACTCAAAATACAGACGAACGACGATTTTCCCTAAAATTACTACATTCAAAAGTTTATAAGTTTTCAAATTGCTTGAAAAACTAAAACAGTATCAAAAGGGTTTTAGAGTGATTTTGTTTGTTGTTTAGTTAGCATTATAATAAATATAAAGCACTTTATTTTTTCCCACTACCATGATTTGGACCGCTGCTGTACGCTCTTGATCAGGATCGACAGCCGAATCGATCATGCCATGTCCGTCTGGCTAGAGATTTGGGATTAAAAATTAGATTATGTGACGCCAAGAAATTGCGAAAGTCTGTCACTGCACAATAATATAGTAAATCATGGCAAGATTTGGACAAGAAATACCATAGCACTTCTATTACTTTGACCGGAGCTGTATATATATATTTGGTCAACATCTATTTATTTAGTCAATAACGAATAATTAATCGGTAATAAATATTAATGTTAATTTTCCAGCAGATGACGCCACCTAAACCCCGATTATTTTCAGGGAGCCAATTTATTATTTTGAAATTGGTTAGTTGTTTCCAATAGGGTATCCAATAGTCTACGTCTATAGTGTTTATTCTTGTATTATATATAATAGCTGCAAGGGTATATATACTTTGGCTTGCCTGGCACGAGCACTGAAGGAAGCACAGGTTATGAGGTGGAAATGAGCTAGAACTTGTTAATGGTCCTCCTTAGACTACATTAATCCAAGGAACAGTTAGTGCTCTGGCCAGTGACATCCCCATTACCATACCCATTACCATACCCATTCCCATTCCCAGGATACTTACAGGCTGACGAAGGGACCGCGCAGCGCCGGCATGTCCCGGCGGCGGTTGAGCGGCGGCGAGAGCGACAGCGAGAGGAAGTCCTGCTGCGCCTTGTCCTCGTCGACGATGCTGGTCGGGGTGCTGTAGATGCGCGTGGTTGGCAGGTAGCCAATCTGCTGCAGGAAGTCGTCGCGGTACGATAGCTTGGTGGTGGACTGCGACGAGGTGAGCGGCAGGGACAGCGGCGACCCGTAGAGCGGCGCCAGCGGCAGGGCCGCCGACATCGTGGCCAGCGACAGCGGCTGCTGGTAGAGTCCTCCTCCCCCGGATCCCACGCCAGGCCCCGATCCCGATCCCGATACCGATCCCGATACCGATACCGACGCCGATCCCGATCCCGCTGCAGTGCCGTTGCCATGGTGGTGCAGGTGCAGGCTGGGCGGAGGGGCGTGGAAGTGCGGGTAGGGAATGCCGTGGGCGTAGGCGCGCGACAAGTAGGGCGGCGTGACGACCTTGTCGTCGAAGCTGCGCCGGAAGCTGAAGCCCTTCAGCGAGTGGCTGTAGTTGCGGTGCGAGAGCGGTGAGCTGCCCAAATCGATGCTGGCCGCCGGTCCGAGGACTCCGCCGCTGGCCGTCGCCGTGGCGCTGCCCAGCATGCTCAAGGCGGGCGACGTGCGCAGCTGGGGACTGCCGCCCACGCCCACGCCCACTGCCACTCCTACTCCCACTCCAACCCCGCCCCCTGCTCCGGACGCCGTGGTGGTGGCGGCGGAGAGCGGAGGCGAGATGGCGCTCAGCGTGGAGATGCCGCTGTCGCTGCTGCAGATGCCGGCCGGCAGAGAGGAGTGGGTGGGCGAGATGAGGTGGGGATGGTGTTTGCCGTTGGCATTGGCGGAGCCGACGAGTCCGCCCATTCCGCCCATGCCGGCCATGCCGCTGCTGGGCAGTACCGGCGCCAGGGTGCTCCTCGTAGTGGTATTTTCTGCGCGAGATGAGTGTCCTATCCGGGTCCGGATCCGGATCGATGTCCGTTCGGGCTGATCCCTGCCTGGTCCTAGAAGCAGCTTCCTCGCGTCCGGGTCCTCATCGCTGGGCGGCGGCTGCCTTTGATCCTGATCCTGTTCCTGTTCCTTTTTCCGGCTGGCACTTGGTGTAACATACTTTTGTGCGTAGGAAAATCAATGAGGCCCGTGCCTAAAACATTTTAATGCATTTTAAGCAGCGTTTTTCTCGCTTTGTAACCCAAATTGCGCATGAAAAAAAAATAAGTAAGGCGAAAAGCCACACACACACACTCGAACAAACTCGCACACACACTGCCACGAACTGGTTCGCGAAGGGGGTTTTTCCACGGCTTTTCCCCCCAACTTGGCCCACTCGATTCCGTTGCTCACGTGAAGATACGCGTCCGTAATCTAGTTAACGGCGGAATTGATTTATCCTCGACAATTAACGCGAGCACATCACATTTTCCAATTCTGTATTTTTGACAGGAAACAGCAGCAGCAGGAAAAGTGGAAAAGTATTTTCCTTTGTCCGGACCTCACTCGAACTCTCCGACGGACTGCCCTTCGGGTTCTGTCACTGCGGCGGACAACTCTGCGGCGAAGTTTAGAGAGTCCGGGGAGCGGGCAGTGCGCATGTGCCGGCGGTCGTCGTCCGTTAGCTATTACTGCCCGAAAACGAAACAAAACAAAGCCCAACGGAGAGAGTGAAAGCTGGCAGCAGTCAGCTGCGCCGACGAAAGTTCATCCCCAGCACGGGTTTGTTTACCATCCTGGCGGAGCTTTTGCGAGGTGATGGAGGTGGTCGGGGGTAGAGGGTAGAGGGTAGAGGAATTCAACAGCCTTGAGTTTGTATAGTAAATTTATTTCGGTTTCTTCGTGTTACACCAGAGTACAATTGAAATTCGGAAACAATTGTTAAGTTTAAATTTAGTTTACTTAGTATTTTTGCTTTTGACTTGTACGAACAATAAATACACACGCAAGACCGCAAAAAGTTATTATCGTTAATTGAATTTCATATTTGCATGTTTATGCTATGGGTGAGTCTGGGACCCTCGGATAAACGATCACGATCCCGATCCCGATCCCTAGTCCCGGCCCAGCGCTGATCCGCAATTATAAATGTCAATGATAAGAATGGAGCTTCTAAGTACAATATATAAAAGTTAATTACTGCTGGACTAATCGCATTCATTTACATTTAAAAGCGGGTTAACAGTTCAACGAAAACCAATCGGATACAATTAATTTAGAAAATTATTTTAGAATACATATGTGCAATACTTTCGGGGGATACAATCGAACTTTTGATTACTCGTATTTAATTTATATATTATATATATATATATATAAAGAGGGATTATTAATATCTGTTATATAATTTATCTTCCATTAAGTTTCGCCATCTATAGTGTCCTTCATCGTCCTCCCCTGCGTGACTGTGTGATGCTTAATTGCTTAACTCGACTTATTTACATTTGCATTAGAATCGGATCGGAGCAATCGGCTCGACAAATCATCTTCTTTACATAAGTAGCTCTTTCTGGCTTCAACAATTCAGTGCAAATTAACAGAAACAATCGGTGAAGGCGATCAATTGCGAACAATTAGCTAGACTAGGCGACAGGCGACGACACAAATGCAAACTAGATACACATATCATATACATATATATAATTACAGTGCCTCTCTTCGCGAGAAGTCGATTCATTGTCCACTGCGGCGGAGCTCGCCGTAAGGGATCCGATCCCCAAGCAAATGTCTAGGTGAACTCCCGATGTACAAATTAATAGACAGCGCAGGTGTACTTAGCGTGGCTGGTGGATGGTGGATATAGTGGTGGAGATGGTGTTGGCTGAGCAGCCTGGCTATCGATTCGAGTTGCATATGGCTGCGGCTGAAGAGCTAGCCAACTGGCCTACACAATGGAATTGGTGAAACGATTATCCGAAGGCCACAAGGCCGCCGGCACGTAAGACTGTTTAAAATTAGAGCTAAGTGCTACGACTTAAAATAAATACATAGGTTTATATGTTTACTCGCTTCAACATATCGCGCATCTTAAAAACAGCTTTAATAATTAGGATATATATCTGGTTTTCTCTTTCGGTTACGATTTAGGGTTTTGTATTTTCTGTGTCTGTATCTGTATCTGTATCTGAATGTGTGGCGTACGCATGCACATGGGGCTTGGGTTTGATTCGCTCGCAGCACTTGACTAATATTTTTGATTAACCATATCTATAGGTGAGGAGAGAGAGAGAGGGAGAGAGAGAGAGAAAATAGTAGACAGTGATAAGTGAGAATAAATCAAAATAACGCGTTGCATAACAAACGATAAAATCAAAGTAAACCAATCAAACTTAGGCTACATGAATTTGACAGACGTTGATTTCTTAATGCGTCATACAGATGGTAAATATGATAATCCAACGAAAGCTTGCAAAACACTGAAAAGGGGTCTTGAAAACGGTCCTTTCAAAAGTGGGTATTCGGAAACGGCTGCCACAGACCTAGGGAATATGGGGGTCGGTCAATCAATCGATCGGGCAGTGTGTGGTTAAAGGATTTTGCATGCATGTCTATGTAGGTGGACCCCATCTTCGCGTGGACGTATGGTTGTGTCTGGGCATGTGTGAGACGTTACACACACAGGGAGTGTCTAAAAAATACCCTGCAGAATGCAGAATGCAGAATGCACGCGCTTAACTGCTAGGCGGTGTTAATCTGATCGCTGGACGGGCTACGTCGAGAGGTGACTGAGTGCCTGCGCCACCAATCACCTGTCCAGCGACCGAAGGTTACAATATTTGTTCGATTTATGCACAATATCAAGTTCGATGGTCAGAGACGCTAGACTGGCTGCCTCCTCTGCGGGCTGGCTGAGAGGCTGACTGCTGGAGCGACTGTTTATATACCTGGCGTGTAAGTGGTCTGCTCCGTGGTGTTCAGCGATGTGTTCTCGTTGGCTGCCACGGGGGCACCGGTGAAGGGGTTGACTCCCACGGCTCCACTGGGCGGCGGCATGGCGAAAACGGGCTGTCCTCCGGCCTGCTCGCGCGGCTGTGAGGTCACGGGGGCTCCGCCCGCTCCAAGGTTCACGTCGTCGAGATCAGCGTCCTCCTGCGGCACACACAAAAACACGGATTAGTTCAACTTTAGCTTTAAGTTAAAGGGGCGCGAATATTTTTGAGAGCTTGGAGGGGTGGTCCCTTTGGCAATGTTTAGTCAATAACATTAGGTGGGTGAGCAGCTGTCTACAAGCCGTGATCGCTAATCTACATTTAAGCTACGATTATATTACTGATGTGCTTACGGTTACGGGACACTTCAAGCCAAATACTACAAAACTATAATCAGCCAGATGACACAGCAACGCAAGAAAATCATAACACATTTACCCAAGCATTTACAGCAGAAGGATCAGATCAAAGAACATTGCCTTTTTGTCATCTCTTCGTGGGGGCTTCGATCGAGTTTATTTTGCGACTAAATGTTAGTAGGACTTGTTCCCTTGGAACATATCGATTTTGATTGTTCACCATTTGAGTAGAGTTCGGATTGGGTTAATGTCGTTGCGTTAGTTAGTTGGTTGGTTGGTGGGTGGGTTGGTTGTCGGGAGGTGGCAGGTGATGCTGACCCGAGCTCATGCGGTACTCGTGCTGATATCATTTTCGATTCGCATACTTACAAGGCGTGGCGGCTGTCCCAAGTGCGGTGGCATATCGTTGACCTCTCGATTGCCATCAGGGCGCTGACGGCGCGGTCGAGAGCGAGTGTGTGGTGGTTGTGGGTGGTAGTAGGTGGTGGATATGATGAGTCGATCGCAAAGAGTTTTGAGAAAAAAAAAAATGTTAAACAAAAATAGAAACTTAAATCGTCGGCTTCTCTTTCTTAGCTTGCAAACAAACAAAGGAAGAACGCTGCAGAGATGTAGGTGCAAACTAAAACCGAATGCGCAATGGGAGACGTAAAAACAAGAAAAGCAATCGTGGACGAAATCAAAATCGCTGGATTTCTGTCTGGGTTCGATGTCGCGAACACTCAGTCGCTAGAAATCCGAGTGTGTAAGTGTTTTCGTTATCGTTAGTTTACATCAAATTGATAGGGAGAGAAAACGTTGAAGCATTTGATGATTTTCGTGAAGTACACATTACAAAACAAGCAGAATTAACATGAAATTTTGAAGTGTATGTAAGGAGAACTTAACTCGAATTGATCGTAACAGTTTGTGGGTGGGTTAGTCGTGTTTACCTCTGACCCCAGAAATCAGTGTTCTGATCTCTGCCGTGTATAGAGTGTTGAGAACCAAGAACCAAGAACCGAGAACCAAAAACCAACAACCAAAACAGACTGCATACTTACCCCAACGAAAAACTAGGAAGAAAGCTGTGCAACCAGAGATTCGAGTGTTTTTGGGGTTTTAAGAGCAAACAAAGTAGGAGCGTGCCAAGAAAGCCGATAAATTATACTATTAAATTATACTAGAAAATGGTTAGTCGTTTATTGATCGGTTAAGCTGGTGGGCAAGCGTTGATGTCAGATGTAGGAGCATGTTTTTGACTAAACATTAGCTTCTCAAACGGAACAACAATATGGATCTCCTCACAAAAATCATCAAAATTGGTTTTGTGTTTAGTTGGCAACATTACAGTGTGGGTGTGGATGGGAAGCATGCGTTAGAGCCTGATTATTGGCTTTGCACCAGATTGGTTTTCTTGTTTTCTCTTTTCTCAACTAAATTAAAATGATTTCATTTAGTAGCGGACTGAGTTTAAGGGGCGGGAAGGAACTTTAATTTGCCTGCCAATTGGCCAATTCAAACATCACTCACATTCAGATGTGAATACTGATCGTGCGACTCGTTGACCGGCGGCTTGAACTTGCCGCAGCAGAAGTTGCAACAGCAGCAGCAGCAGCAGCAACAGCAGCATCCAGTGATCACAGCGCAGCAAATGAACACCGCCTGCAAGGAAGATCAGAGATTACTTAACGTGACCAGCGATGCCAATTCCACCGATTCCCTACCTTCACAGCCGGCGACGTGACCACGAAGTACGCGTTGACATTCTCCTCGCCAAACTGCTCGGCAATGTACAAGCCCAGGGAGCCGTAGTTGTCGTATATGTTGCGCTTGGTCTGGTCGCTCAGTATCGAGTGGGCCCGATTCACCTCCTTGAACTGCAGAAATTAGGGCGTTAGGAAGTGCCTATGCCTATGGACTCGTCTATACTTCACCTTATCGGCCGCATCGACATTGTCGGGGTTCTTGTCGGGATGGTATTTGAGTGCGAGTTTCCGGTACGTCTTTTTGATATCATCTCCGGTGGCTGTCTTCGGAAGTCCCAGGATTTCGTAGAGCGAGTCGCCCGATGTGCTGGATAAAAAAAAGGGAAAGTACCATTATGACGGTTGCAGAATTGTATTTTGACTGCTATTCACTGTGCGGCATTTGGAATTAGCGGCTGATAAGTGCAGTCAGATAAGACTTTGTGCCTCCTAGCGTAGTTGTACTGTCCCTCCGACATTCCTGCCGCAGCGTAAGCAGTCGCTCTCTGGGCGAGTGCGATAAAAGCCCAAGCCCAAGGCAAGTGCCTTTGGCTATGAGTCACCAACAACAACAGCAGCAGCAACAGTTAGCTGTGGCACGCGATGGTAGCGCACCCAGGTGAGCACTTGGCCCTCGGGACTTGCCCGTGCCCGCGGGCCAGGCGTTGGCATTGAGGGCGTCCAGGTCGCAAGCAGATGGCATTGCTGGCTCGGCAGCAGGGTCGCGTGCAGCATAAATTGCACCCTTCCGCATGCACACCGTATGGATTTTCTCGAGCAGGTGGGTGCTATTTATAAGCTGGGCGCCAGCGGAGGGAAGGCAAAGCTTTGACTCTGCGAGCTGATAAGACGGCAAGCGCTTGACAAAGTGGTTGAGGACCACGATGATGAGGGTGATTAGGGGCTCAAGCGGATGCAAGCCCAGGGTCAGTGGGCAGTGGGCGGTGGGCGACTGCACAGGGCCAAGGACGCTGGCAGGCGTCACTACAGGCGTCACGGCAAGGCGCATTCCATTGCCTTGGCTGTCCAAGCCCAGAATTGGGCCAAATAGAAGCGGTTCGTGCTGGCGTTACTCATACCAGGTCGAAGGGCTATAAAACTCTCTGGCTGATAACGGGCTCCGGCTTGTTGGCTGGTTGGCTTGTTGGCTGGTTGGCGAACGGATCTGTTATCGCTCACTTATAGCCAATTCTGTATGTGTTGCACGCAAAGCCAATATAAATATACTAGTACGCTGCCCCGACTATAAGGGTACCCAGTATCGCGAAATTGCAAAATTCGATGCCTTGACAGGCGGCGTACTACCAAAAGCAATCATTCATGGTAAATCCCTTTAACATGGTCAGATTTGAAACACTTTGCTACACAAACCTACTTCAATATTGGGAGTGATGTGAGTCAGTGAGTTGGTCAAGAGGCTGCCTAGTAATCTAGACCGATATCTTGACCATGTCGACGCGGCTGTCGATCAAGAATAAACATAAATGTATGGTATATACATATGTACCTGATGGGTTCGGAAACGCCTCTCTCTACCTGTTACATACTTTTGCATTAATACAGTAGACCCACTAAGCTCTACGAGTACCGCGTTTAACAGCGATTATCGAATTTGCCCTGGGACACAAATCCACGTTCGTCAAACTGCAGGAGTTTGTCCTTGGCCTTGCCCAGGACGCAATCGTTTGTCCGTCTGTCGACCTGTCTGCTCCTGCCGCAGCTGCCCAGTCTCTCCCCCCTCCCCTCCCATCCCCTCCCATCCCATCTGTGCAACACAACCCTGATCCTTATCCTTGTTTATCCCGACGCAAGGGAATAAATGCGGGGCAGGCTCGAGAAAACTTCTGCCGCGAAAAATCAATTCGACGCCGACCGCGCTGCCTGTGCGCAGCTGCTACTCACACGCACACACTGGCGGTTGTGTGTGAGTGTACTCTGCGTGTGTGTGTGTGTGCGCAGTGGAGGAAAAACGAAGGAACACTAGTGCCAATACTTACGAGAGTTTTCTTTTATCCATGCCAGGGGCGCTCATTGTGCCGCCGTGCCGTGTGTCACTTGGCCTGCGAACGGTAAATTAGCACTGCACTCGCGATCGCTGTCACACGCCCTGAATCTCTGAATCTCTGTCTGCCAAGCACCCACAACTATTCTTTAAATTGCACTTGAGTCGTTGTCGCCGCACCGATGTCTCGATTCTTTTATTTTTTTCGCAATGAAATTCTGGACGGTGTGACCGTAGCAGCGCCGTTCATAAACACCATGGAACCTCGGGAAATATACCAGACACCAGAGCAGTGCAGCCAGCTTGGCCAATTTCAGGCTAGATGTAGCATATCTGAAAATGAAGCAGCTTATACGAATTGGAAGTCGCTTTTACACTCCAGTCCCACTGGTGTTCACACAGAGCCACCATCAACCATCAACCTTCCACCATCCACCAACCATCAAAAGTCACAGTGGCGTAGGTGAAATTTATGAAGGGGGGTCTTTCACTCAATCAAACTCTTTGAAGTACTTTTTTTCGGCTCTGATTTTATTTCATGCTATGGATTAGTTGTTAAATGGTTATCTGAACTTTTAAATAATGGCTTTAATCTACTCTCTATTCAAATTGCTGCCTGGGGGAGCGGTAACTATTTAGCTATTTTGCATCAATTTTTATATTTTCATGTGGCTACGAATGAAGTGGGCAGTACTACAGTATCTGGTCCACATTTAAATAAGCTTTGTCTTTCTTCAAGTTAAAATTTTTTAAGTTGAACATAATCAGCTCTTTTTGACGCGAAAAGTCTCGATACCGATAATTCTTACGACGGCGTAATGTATCATTAGCGTTCAGCTTAGAGATCACTTGATCAATGATTAGTGATCCATCATTGATCAGTGAAAATGTTGTTCTGCTGAATACGCCCATTAGAAATGTGGTAAGAACATCGATAGTCGCCAAAAACATCGATGTTCTCAACATTTTTAACAATACTAAGATAAATGTTGATTTTTTTATGTTAACAAGATTATTATTAAAATTAAAATATTATTATTAAAATAATACGTTTGGAAAAAAATGGGCGTGGTCTTACCCTTGTACAGGTTTTTTTATTTTGGGAGAAGTTATCTTCAAAGTAAACGCAGTAGTTGTATTGAAAAAAGTTTAAACAACTCTGTAATAATGAAATCTATAACTTCGTTTTAATTAATTCGGGACATAAAGTTAACATTTTCAAAATATAGGCAAGGTCGGGTTGAGCGCGCCTTCGAGCAGCTGCACTTGCAGCTTGAATTAGTAATCTAACATTGCCCGCCTTCAGGAATGCTAGATCTGTCGGTTCGATTCTTTACGTTCTATGTTTTTCGATAGACGGGACCGTCAACCGCTCTTAATGTTTTATTTATTCGAACATTTGAATGCGAGCTAAGGCGAGAAGAATGCCTTTGGTTGAACAGATTTAAGTTTCTTTTGCACTTTGCCCACTTCTGTATTATATTGTAGCAAAGACTTTGCATTTTTTTAAACAAAATTGCCTCATCTTGCTTGGAACAAGGTTGACGCTTTCGTAAATTCGGAAATGGCAATCATTGCAGTCTTTGTCGCCTCTGAGTTTGCAAATTTGAGGTTAGAACCTAAAAAGTTATATTTCAGGAAAAGTGCGCAAAAGTGCACTTTTGCACTAATATAATAGAATAGTAATTGAATAATCTACAACATGTAACTCACACACTTTGTAGCTCTATTTAGAAAAACAACAAATCACTATAAGCTTTTAATTTTTTTACACATTTACAAACACATACATATATATTACTATTGTTGGACTGCATGCCAAAAAACTGCACTTGAATTGGTTTAGTTCTCTTTTGGTGTTAAATTAAAAAAAATGGGTTTTGGCCAAAAAATGTGGTCGGTGGCCCCAAATTGCGGAACTGTCTTCCGCGTTATCGAAACAGAAAGTACTTTAATTACTGACATGATTTCGGCCTAATGAGTGGCTGAATTGAAGGAATAAGGGTGTTAGAGCTAAAAGTGCAATCTTTTAAAAATATTAAAAATACAAAAAAAATTTTATTTTTCTGTATATTCTTTGTTTTCGTTAACTAAGTTTTACGATTTTTGATAAAAATCCCAAAAAAGCTAGACAATGCTTAAAAATAGTAAAATAAAAATTATCTTAATAATTTTTTAAGTTTTTCTGGACATTCTTTGTTTTCGTTAACTAAGTTCATTCCATTTTAGGCACTTTATAGTTGTATCAGCATTTTTCCAGTAATCACAAAATTAGTTATGAATGCCTTGTGACTGGCATTAGGGCTTTACCTTACTCAAAGAAGGTTTTTTTAGACGCACATTGTGGAAAAAGCTAAAAAAAAACAGCTAAACATTTTTTTAAAAATCCACAATTTCCGCAATTTGCCAATTTTTCCCCTTCAAAAACAACCAGATTTCACAGTAAAAAAGGCGGAATCGGCAGATTTGGTTGCATTGCTAAAAAGCCAGGTAGTAGTTGATAATACAGCTGTTTCACAATTTTGGCAGGAAACGTTTTGGGTCAAATTTTTTTTTCTATGGGAATTTTCAGCAATTTGGAGATTCAGTCGTTAAGGAGATATCCAAAATATTTATAAACTTTGGATAAAAGTTGCATGTTGGCGGTACAAATTGTAATTGTTTTCTATTTGTCTGTCGCTCTAGAAAGAATTAAGCTTTTCCCCTTGGGAAACTGTTTTTCGATCTAGTGAAGTCGGCCATTGTTCAGAGAAAACGAAAGTCGGAACGCACCACTGAAATGTACTAACGCGTGGTAGATGCCAGACAGCTGCTGTGGCATATGGAAAATAAAAGACATGTTGCGCCTGTAAAAACCGAAAGAAGTCGACTGGGATTCAATTAAAAGGCGAGCCAAAGCTTTCCGTGCGAACCTGACAGGATGGGCGAACCGAAAACCGGTGCGGAGCTTGGGGAGGAGGAGGAGGAGCAACCCTTCAACTGCGAGGAGGAGGCCAACGCCATCATCAACGATGTGAAGGCCCACGTAGCTGAGATATGCGTCTCCTCCAAACTGGCGAGCGATGCCACGCAGATCTACCTGAACATACGCACCATCGAAAGCGCCACCTGCTGCGTGCAGGTGAGCAGTCGCGGCTTCAAGATCGTCTCCTCCCAGTACGACACCATAGACGAGGATCCGCGGATCTGCGCCCTGCTGCGCTACGGACAGCACCAGGACAGCGAGGCCGATGAGCAGGAGGAAATCTTCGAAACGCCCTACGCGCTGCTGGACAAGATCAGCCCCCGCTATGTGGAGTCGTTCGGAAACCAGCTGTGCCAGCAGCTCAGACAGCTGCAGCAGATGCGGACCGAGTTCCATGAGGAGGACGAAGAGGAGGAGGATGAGGAGGAGGAGTGATGGCAAGCGGTCACCATCCACCAGCTACAACCACTCAACCGAGGCTGTTTACTCTTTAGACAGAAGATTTTAATGTTAGTTTAATTGAATGTTTACTCGTAATGGCGAAGCTAGAGCTCCGATTTCCTTAATATTTATGTGTGAGTGTGTGTGTGTCTGTGCCGCAAAAGTATTCCCGCGCGAGTTGGTCATGCAGTTGACTCATTTCACCATACCCCCCATACCCTCTCCTTGCTTAGCAAGCGAATACCGCTCCAGATCCGCTCTACTAGACCTTAAGGCGCTTCAAAAATAAAGATTGTGATTGCAACTCCAGGTCGGTCAGTTTGCGTACGGTGGGCACCAACTGCTCAACATGATCCTGATAGCCGCTGCCCGTGTTGAAGTTCTTCTGGCCGTACACCACCTTGCCGTCGAAGTCGTTGACCGGCACCTCCATGGCGCGGTCCACCTGCTGTATGGTGATGTTCAGGTGATCCTCCACCTCGGCCAGCAGATTCGGCTCGTTGTACCAGATGCAGCATCCTCGGACGTCGGTCAGATTGGTGTTGTTGCAGTTCCGGCCGCGCGACTTGCACCACTCGCCGTGGTACCACACCTTCTCCGGCACCGTGGCCACCAGGCTGATGGCCAGACCCATGCGCTCCGCCCTGCCCACGCGTCCGATGCGGTGCACATAGTTGGTCTTGTCGTCGGGCAGCGTCACATTGATCACTATGGGCGAGAAGGAACATAAACGTGTTAGGAGCAGCTAATGCAATCTATAATTTAAGAACAAAAACATCTTATTTGTTAACTAGGAAAATTAGGGGTTTCAATATAAAGTTTTATAGGATTCATAAGATGTACATAGCTCTATTTCCTCAATGGAATATGAATCCGGTGGCGAATCAAAAAATTAATTTAAAACATTTAACCAATATAAGTTGCATCGGATAATAAAATTACGTCCAATTCAATTTAGCCCTGAATTAATTTTTAGAAAACAAATAAACCCGCAATTATCCTTTTTCGTTTGCAAATATTTAAGACTATCTGTGCCTGCATTCAAGTGGAAATGAAAGACTCACTGAAGGGCAGTCCGGTGATGTCGAGACCGCGGGCCGCCACGTCCGTGCAAATCAAGAACTTGACCTGCTGCCGCTTGAACATCTCCAGGTTCTGTTTGCGCTCCTGCGGCTTGCGGTCGCCGTGCAGGCAGACACACGAGTACCGCTGGCCTCCGCGCTGACGGAGGTATCTCTCCAGGTTGTCGCAGTCCTGCTTGGTGCGGCAGAAGATGATGGCCCGGTCCATCTGGTGTTTCTCGATGGCGAGGACGCAGTACTCGCCCTTGAGCAGCTTCACGGCCTGCGACAGGGTCTCCTCGGAGCCATTAGCCGGATGGACATTGTCCCGGTCGTGGACGCCGTCGGTGTTGATTGGCTGGCGCAGCGAGTGCCAGCTTTTGTCCGCCAGTGGATCGACCAGGCAAACCACATGATGCACAGTCTCGGGCACAGCATCCTCGCCCTTCAGGTCCACCCAGGTGGGGAAGTGCATCAGGCGTTCGGCCATCTTCTTCACCTCGAAGGCATGCAGCGTGGCCGAGCAGACAACCATTTGCAGCCGCCGACCGTCCGTGGTGATCTTGGGGATTTGCTTGTGCAGACGATCGATCAGTTCGGTGTAGCCCTGCTTCAGCAGGGCGTCCGCCTCGTCCAGCACGAAGAAGCGGCAGTGGGTGAGCAGCACCAGGCCGCTGTTGATCATTTCCTCCAGCCTGCCGGGCGTGCCAACAACGATGTGGGTGCCCTGCATCAGCTGCGCCTTCTGTTCCTCCAGCCGCACGCCGCCAATGAGGAGCAGGGAGCGCACCTCGGGATTGCTCAGGTGGTACTTGAACTTTTCGATCTGGTTGTAGGTCTGCTCGGCCAGCTCCCTGCTGGGCTCTATTATAATCGCCTGGGGCGCATTCGGTGCTGGCTTGGCGGACGCGACACCAGCGGCGGGACTGGCCAGCGGATTGGCCTTACTATGCTCCGCTCCAGCCTGGCAGGCGGCCACGAATCCGTTGCCAGGAGCGTACTTGAAGTCCGTCTTGCCCAGGTTGAATTGCATTTCGGCGTTCTTGAGGACCACGGCCGGGTAGAAGGTCTCCTTGGCGAGGTTCTCCGGCAGGCGAAAGGCCACTCCCAAGTGCTGTCCGTTCTTGGTGAAGCTCACCTCCAAGCGCTGCAGGTCCAGCAGGCAGCCAATGACATCCGCCTTGCCGAAGGCTTCGCCGTAGTCGTCGAACTGGCGATTATTGGACTTCTTGCCGGTGCCGCCGAACCCGAAGCCCATGCGGCAGGTGCCCAGATCGAGGTTCGCCTGCTGCGTGGACCAGCCGACGCGACACAGGCCCTCGTCCGTGACCGTGGCCTCGAAGTAGAACTTTCCCTTGCCCCGAACTCCGGTGGTGGCCCGGCAGCCGTGCCACTCCTTGAACTCCCGCGACTGACAGCGCAGGCCATCGGGAGTGACGGCGAGGGCGTTGCCGCGGTCAAAGAACGACATGGTCCAGGGCGCCACCGATCCTCCACCTCCGCCTCCGCCCGAGCCGCCCTTTCCCCCCGCCTTTGCCTCCTCCAGATCTCGCAGGGTCTCCCACACGATCTGCAGGATGGGCAGGCAGAAGGCACCCGTTTTTCCCGACCCGGTTTCGGCGGCCATCAGCACATCGCCGCCGCCCAGGATCAGGGGTATGGCTTCCGCCTGGACATCGGTGGGCAGGCTGTAAATTGAGCGGATTAGTGTATACATAAGGACACTTTATTGTTTTTCTCCTCACGTCCAGTCCAATTCATCTGTGGCCTTTCCCAGCTCCGGGAGCACGCCGAACTCTGCGGAAGAGAATAGGTTAATTTTCATTTTTGTGATATAAAGATTTTTACGCACCCTCGAATGCAGTCATTTTGGGAATAATTTTTAATTCTCTTTTTTTGCTGCTTAAAAGCCGGCTGATTTATTTGGTGAATTAAGTTCAATTTGGAAGTGGTTCGCGGCTGAACCAGTTAAGGAACCAACATTTTGAGGTGCTGCCAACTTATTCGGGCAAGAATCTAAGAAATTGATAAAAAAGAAAAAAAAATTCCCCCAAAAGGCATTTAAATAGTTGAGCACAAAGAATAATAATTTAAGTATTCCCTAAAAGAGTAAATCTCTGAAATTCTGAAAGTATTTGCTACCCACTGATGTATGATAGAGAGTTGATGCGAACTTTTTTTTCTTTCTTTCTAGCAGAAGTACTTCCTGTGGAAGAAAAAGGCGTTACAGACAGGTGGCTTGTTTTTTTTTTACCTTTAAAAGACCAGTGGATAAATCATTAGCAGAAGAAAAACCTTGCGTATGTTAAAATTGTATTTAGTTTTGCATTAATGTCCATTTTGTTGGTGGAAACATTGTATTTTGTATACTCTTATTTTTTTAGGTTTGTTTACTTCTAGCATGGGTCGCTTCAACTCTTTCGCTGCAACTCTTTTTAAGCGGCTGTGTGAAGACGCTATTATGGAATTTTGCCGTGCCTCTTTTTGAACCAGTTTTCAGGAAATAGCTAAGCTGTCAGCACTGCAGCTTGAACAAAATCAGTGGTGCGAAACGCGATTGGCAAACAGCTGTGATTTCGGGACGCTTGCCAACACTGTCATTTGTGTACGCGTAAATCGCGCAGATTTTTTGTTGTGCTGTGGAATGTCTTGTAAAAGTGTTGATTGGGCGAGGCAGATCATGTAAATCTGGGCGCACCCCACAAAATGTAAATGCACCCGTACCCGGCCGCAGGTTGAACCCGATTTTCCGCACCCCTAACATTGCTAATGCAGTTTTCCGTTTGCGCAGTAACTTTTCACTCGGAGGATGTACTTTCCCGTGGGCTGGCCCAAGCGGGTGGGCCTGGCGCTGCCCGGCGAGAGCGCCAGCATCCGGCACATTTGCTGCGACGCGGTCAAAATACTCGTGGCCGCCGTGGGCGATGGCTTCCTGGGCATCTGGTATGCGAATCCGCTCATTCCCATCGCCTACTTCCGGCGCACGGAGGACTCCCTGCGACAGTACGGCGCCAACCAGCTGATCGTGTGGAAGCCGGACTCCCGGCAACTGGCCCTGCTCACCGTCTCCGGCGCCCTGTTGCTGTACCAACTGGACTTCGACGCCAACGGCAGTGGGATCCTGCTGCAGGTGGATCCGCCGGCAGCCAGCCTCAAACGCGACTCCGCCGAGCTGTTCATCAAGGAGAACATCCCACGACTGAGCCTTCGCGAGATGTGCAGCGTCACTCTGGGCTCCGTCATCACCACAGTGTGCTGCATCAGCCTCAGCGAACTGCTCCTGGCCACCCAGTCGTGCGAGCTGCTGCGTCTGCAGTGGTCTCAGCTGGAGCACGCCGAAAACGAACTGGAGCTGCCGGCCCTAGCTGCCATTAAGCTGCGCGACATTCCCTTCTACGTGCAGCAGCAGTCGCAGCAGGCGTCCGCCCGGAATGTGCCGCCCCTGAGCAGGGACTCCTACGTAGCCTCCTTGGAATACTCGCCGTTCATCGGCGGCTGTGCGGCCGTCTTCAGCGACCGTCGGGCCGCCTTCCTGATTGCCAACCATCTGAGATTTGAGACCGACCACATGCACGGCTTCTGGGTGCCGGACGTGGAGGATGCCAGCGTCTGCAGTGTCAACCACAAGTTTCGACTGTTGGCCTACGGGCAGGAGAGTTCGGCGGTGAATGTGTATGCGATTGATGACGCCACCGGAGGACTGGAGTTCTCGCACCGTCTGATGCTGACGGAGAATGTGCTGCCCGGCAGTCTGGGGGCGGTGAACGAGCTGAAGTGGAGCCCGGACGGCTGCGTCTTGGCCGTCAGTTGGACGAATGGCGGACTGTCCCTTTGGAGCACCTTCGGTGCATTGCTGATGTCTACTTTGAGCTGGGACTTTGGTCTAAACGTAGATCTAGTGCGACAAAATCCTCTCAAACTCCGTCGTCTCGAGTGGTCTACCGAGGGCTATCAACTGTTCATGCTGACGCAACAGCCGCCGGAACAGCAGGAGAAAGACAAGGGCAATGTGCTGCAGCTGCAGTTCGTGAAGAGCGCGCTAAGCATGAATCCCTGCATGACGACCAATCCGCACATCCTGTTGCAGGGAGACGACTGCCTGTACCTCAACCAGGGCAACAATCTGGAGCTGACATACGCCGGCAGCCAGGCCACGTTCCCGGCGAGCGGCGTGGGCTCTGCTGAAGAGGCCGCCGGAGATGGCGACTGTCTGGAGCTGAAACAGAGCCCGCACACGGGCAGC